ACGGCAAAAGTCACCGGTTGTCACTTTTGAGATGAGCTTACCCAAGAGCTGGCTTCTCCCTGCCCGGCCTCCATTCCCTTCCCCCACCCTCTCTCTCTTTGTGTCTTATTCACTGAGTCCCCAGGTCCCCATTATCTCTCTCTGGTTTTCCTCTGAGGAGATGAAGCTTCTGTACAGTAGTAAAGTACTGGTTGTGGTAAGAAAGCTTTGGGGCCCACAGAAGCTGTGGCTTGCTACTGGCACGTGAGAGCTTGAGGAAACTGGAGGGAGGGCTAGGTGCCCACTCTTTATGCTCTTGTCATATCGTGTCTTTTTACTTTTGTGCAAGGAACATGCACTGTCTACGCAGAAATAATAACTAATAATACAACTTCAATATACAACTTTAGTTAAAAATTGTAATTAGTAAAAAAAAAAAAAAACAGAACACACACGCATACCTTTTTCCACTCCTGTATCAGAAAGGTAGACAGAGAGAGACAGACACACACACACAGAGAGAGAGAGAGAGAGAGAGAGAGAGAGAGAGAGAGAGAGAGAGAGAGAGAGATACATACACCCCCTTCCACTCCATGAGGGAACCATCCCTGTCACCTGGAACGTCCTCTCCTTCTTCTCCCTCAGGAAAGCTGATGAGAATAAAGGAGGAGCCTGATGTGAGAGCATCCACATACCACACTCATCAACATGGACCACAGTGGGACCTTTGCTAACAGAGACTGTATTTTTCCGACCCAAGCCCCTCACTGGTCAGTCGGGAAAGAAGAGCGATGGCAACAGTGGGATCTTTGCAACCCTTTCCAACCAGAGCTGAGGTCTGGTTCTCCATCCAGGTTCTGCTTGGCCTGGATATGCTTTGATCAACAAAACGTGACAAAATGATATATTTCTGGGCCCAGAGTTCAAGAATCTTAGCAGCTTTTGTTCTCGCTCTGTTTACTGACTCCATGTAAACAAGTCTGACTGGACCTTCTGGAGAGCTACACAAAGGAGCTTAGGTTTCCTAGCCAACAGCCTGCCCTACAACCCTTCAAGACCCAGAAGGAATGCATTTCTGATGGGTTTGTAGGTGGGAGAGGGAGACAGGGTAGCATTCTGGAGCCCTGGCTGTGTAAAGGCAACTCTGCAATGGTAGCTGCATTCGTTACTGTTCTTTTCTGTGATGTAATACCATGGCCAAAGTGAGCTTAATAAAGGAAGCATGTATTTGGGCTTATGGTGAGAGAGAGAGAGAGAGAGAGAGTCAGTCAGTCCAGGCAGCCAGAGGAGGAACCTAAGAAATCACATCTTAAGCCACAAACATGAAGCAGAAAGCAAACTAGAAACAGGTATGGCTATAAATCCTCAAAACCTACCCCCAGTGATGTACTTCCTCCAAGCAGCGTGCATACATCTTCCCATAACCTCCTCAAATGGCACCACCAAGTGGGGACCAAGTGTTCAAATCCCTGCACTTATGGGGGCTCTTTCTCCTTTAAACCACCATGATGGTCATAGTGGGGAAACAGATGAAAGCAATAACTGCAACAATGGTAATGGAGGAGATAATGTGGGTGATAGTGATGATGGTGGCTGTGACGATGGTGGCGTTGACAATGGTGGCTACAACGATAGTGGCTATGACGATGGTGGCTGTGACGGTGGTGGTTATGATGGTGGTGGCTGTGACGGTGGTGGCTATGACGGTGGTGGCTGTGACGGTGGTGGCTGTGATGGTGGTGACACACTTCCTCCAACAAGCCGCACCTGCTCTAACAAAGCCACTCCTCCTAATCATGTCACTCCCTATGCACCTTATGGGCGCCATTTTTATGCCAACCACCACAGTATGTATTTGAGAATTCAATTAAATCCATGCATTCCTATCTCATATAAGTACTCATAGGCAAGGTTTTTCTCATACCTGGGGGACTTGGTGCCCTCCAGAGGGGCCCTGTGCTAACATTCTTCCATCCCAGTCAGGCCAGGCAGCATGGGGTTACTTGGCTCAGCCTCCACATGCCAGCGCAGAGCTGAATCACATGACATTCAAGTGACCCCTTCATTCAGTGCAGCGCATCTGGTGAAGAGGAAGCTTTTGTCAAAATATAAATATTTTGAAGTATTTTGTAATCTAACTCCATGTCGTTTAGATGTTCTCAGAACGGTTGAGGGGAGAAAAGAAGCAATACCACTGAACTGGAAGTTAAAACGGGACATTCTTCCCCATCCTAGTCTCTCTTCCCTCTGTGAGGAGAGTGGCCTCTGCTGCCCATCCGTCATGGCACACGGTCCTCTAGTTTGGAGGCATGAGTAGAGCTTTTGTGGGGTGCTCCATCACCGGTCCAGCTTCACTCCCTGATAGATGACTGACTCTCTGGTAAATAAACGCTCTGATAAATGTCTCTCTCACACACATACACACACACACACACACACACACACACACACACACAGGAAATTAAAAACTACCTAACCACAGCTGTGACTGGCTCTCCCTGACTGCTCTTGAGACACCCCCCTGAGGCATTTGTCCCCCAATCACCTGGCCTCCTCATCGCCCCCTGGGCCCTGAGAACCTGTCCTCTGCTCCTGGACCTGCTGGAACTGAACGCAGCTGTCCGTGCAGCTCTCACTGCCCTCTACGCTGCTGTAAAATTAGAAGACGAAAGCACAAGGGCCCAGCAACTAGAGACCCGGCGAGCTTCTTGAGAACACCGGGGTGTCAACAACTTGAGAAGCTGAACCTTGTAACCCTACCACCAACTCTGAATAGTCATGTGGTACCCAAAGAGCAGCTGATGTATCACCTACAGCAGGGGGCTTTGTGGGTTGTTGTTTTCCCCCCCTGCTTTGTCTTTGGAGACAGTGAAGCTCTGGGAGCTGAGAGATTGTTGGTACATTGACTCTGTGCCTAAGCAAAAGAAACGGGCCTTTCTCTAAAACACGCTCAGCATTTTCATGCCTGACACAACACCCCTGAACCTGGAATGATCTCACAGATAACAGTGTGAGAGGGCCCAAAGGGCTCCGCACAGTCCTACTGCAGTCCCCCATAGGCCTGACGACATGTGGGCAGAAGGAGTTATAGAACGGCTTACTTGTCCTTCAGACCATGACAGCGAATACAGCCTGTTATTCCTCACAGGGCATGCGTGTCTTGTTCCAGTCATCCCTTGGTCCAACAGACAGCAAAGTATGTCTGTGTTGCTCACTGTCCTACAGTCTCACCCAGAGGGGGGAAGAAAAGTCTTGTGGCTTTGGTATCTGAATTCTCCCTGTTGGCTGGGAATGATACTTAACTGAGGGGCACCGTTGAGCAGGTGGCCAGCTTCACGGGATCCATCACGGGTTGGCACCCAGAAGGTACCTTATCTGAAGTATCACAGGCCTAGGTAGTACCACAGCAGGTGCTGGAATGATGGGCTGCCTGGAAACGGAGCTGAGGAGAAGAAGACTGCCTAACCCTTCTATGGCTTTGGAACGCGAGCGGGAGGTGATCTCTTCTCCTCCATAGGTGTGAAGGCCAAAGGCACATCCCTCCAGAGCCCTCATCCGCACAAGCAGATTTTCACGGAAAAAAACGGGGTGTCTAGAATCCTTGCTCTGGTGTGAAGCCTGAGCCTCTTGCTCATGGCCACCATGCAGCTGTCACACTCAGGCACACGCTGACCCAGACAGATGCTCACACTCAGGTGCACACATGCTACAGCTCAGGAGTGCACACACATACAGAGAGAGACAGAGACAGACAGAGACAAACAGAAAGACAGACAGACAGATGCAAATACCACAAACAAGACACTCAGTCATATGCATGCTCACACCTCTGGCTCTAGTCGCTCCCTACCCACTCAAAAGGCCTCTAGAGCAGAGAACAGCCATAGCTGGTGCTGCCCATGATGCTAGTCTAGACAGGGTTCCGGGTTCTAGGAACTGCAAAGGAGAAGGGATAGGGGCAGGTAGCTAAGGCTGGGCCCTGTAGGGGCAGTTCTCAAGACATGGCCTTAGTGGCATTTTCTTCCTCCTTACAAGAAATGCTGTTCCCCAACCACTGCTAGGAACAAGGACACAAGAAACTGTAAAGGCGCCTTCAGCCAACTTCTCGGAGGTGAGATATCAAAATCTCCGTAGGGAAGCCACATCCAGTGTGGGCTTACCAAAAGTAGCTCCTCCTGGGACAAGGGACTGGACACAGGACGGGGGAGGGGAGGATAACAGAGCGGACATTTTATGGAGATTTTATCAGTTCTCATGGGAAGCAAGCTACTCTTCTCCCTCAAGAACTATCCTGAATTGAGCTACTTCTGAGCCACACCTACTCCAGGCTGGAAAACCGGAACTCTAGCCACTGCCCGCTTATTCACCCTGCCTGCCAGGGACGTGAGCAGGACCCACTCAAAGCTCACCTTTGGGATTCTTGTAGAAAGGGGTGATATGCCAATGTCAAGGTCCTCTCACCCCCTCCTACCTCTATGACAGGTCCTCTTGCCTTTCCTGGGGCCCTTTCAACTCCCAAGGGCCTTGAGAACAACCCACCGTACAGGGGACCCTAAAGACATACGCGCGTTGTGTGGATCCCTTCACTGCGCTTGGGAGCTCAACTCCACATCCCGCCCAACTTCAATTAGGATACTCGGGGAGGGTGGGTGGAGGAGGGGAGAACCACGGACCAACAGGGTGGGAGTAGCTCCTACTAGGCCAGTCCTGGCCCCCCTTCCTTTGGGGAAGTGAGGAAGGAACTTGAGCAAACATCTGGGAGACCTGTCAGCCCAAAAATTTGCTAGGAAAAAACGCCATCAGGTACTACAGTGCAGACAGGGTCCAGCCCCACCGCTGCAGCAGCGTGTGCTGGCCGCTTCCTCCTCCTCGCCTCCCTTTCCTCCCCTCCCCCAGCTTCTTCTCCAGCTCTCCTAGCTCCCCCCTATACCGCTCCCCCTTAGTGGCTCCGGCATCCCCACCCGCTGACCCCGCCCATCCGCGGGGCCGCAGCGCCTCCCGGTGGTCGTGCTTCCCAGGCATCCGCCCGCCCGGGGCAGGGTTAAAGTGGGAGGCCTCTGGCTTCGTCCCCTCCCGCTCAGTCCCGGTCCCCTCCCTCCTACCCACTCGGCGCCCGCATCTCGGGCCGTCAGGACCGGGCCTCTCCTCGGAAGTGCCCAGATGGCCTCTTTTTGGAAGTGCCAAGTCAGGTAAGCCTCATGTGGGGTCCAGCCTGACTGGGGGAGAGGAGGAACAGGGTTCAGGAGCTGCACCTCAGGGGTGTACGGTGGAGGCTGAGTTCTCAGGGGTCACCGTTCTAGCCAAACTGACTGTCCAGCCCAGGGTTCTAGTATCCAGCTGGCCTCTAGTCTATGCCGTACATAGCCTGGCTGGTGTGCAGGTTTCCTCTTGGTCTGAACTCCACAGCTTTCTACTGACCACTGATGGCCCAGACTCCCCCTACTTCCCCAGTCCACAGAGTGCCTGGCATCTGGTCAGACCCATGGCCATTTCTAGCAGGTCTGAGTTATCTCTGGCCTGGAGGACATCTCCTGAGGGTTAAGGAACCTAAATTGTCTCAGTGGGAGGACATGGTGTGACCTGGACTTGGACACGGGCCCTGTTGTCCTCTCTGCAGGCCCGAGGAAAGGGGATTCCTCCTGGGGAAGGTAGCTGCCACTTGAACTAGCTCCTCAGATGGACTTCAAGGGTGCTCTGTGGTCTACAGAGGAGTCTCAGGTCCAATGGGTGGGCAAGCCAGATGCTCTCAAGGAGACACCAACCCTCACACTGAACCTCCTTAGTGCTTTGGAAGAAACACAGGAGCTGAGGGACCCTAAGATGAGGGGGACCCAAGTTAATAATATCTGTCACTCTCGGCTCCATCCCACCCCTGGGACTCCCTGGAGCACACCTGGAGCACAGAGGATAACAGTAGAGACACCTTCCCTAGACAGAACAGCACAGAACAGCCCTCATGAAGCCTGGGTGTTCAGGGACTATCCCCATGCTCACCTGAAGACATGGAGCCAGTGCCACAGAGGGACCAGGTACCTAAAAGGAAGGTTTGAGGTTCAGGATTAACCTGCTGGGTTTTTTTCCAATTAAATAGTTCAAGCTTTGAGGCCAGCACCCACTTAGCAAGAAGAAAAGAAAGGGGGCACTTGAAAATTCCCCTTACAAATACTGGCAGTAAAGCAGGTATCTGCGGTCCCTTAGAGAGAAGAGGTAGGGCCAGGAACTGTACTTGGACCTAGGATTCCAGGAAACAGGTGATGTCAAGTGCCACAGACCAGACCGGGGGAGCTGAATATGGGGGTGTAAAGCAGCCATACTGAGGACTGTGCGTTAGTCTTGGGAACAGTAAAATTCTCTAATGAAATGGTGTCAGGGAGCCGGCACAGATTTTGGAAGAAGCCAACGAGGCTGCTGCTGCCACTTGGGCAGTTTGTCTGCTGGAGAGTGGGCTCCTTCCTGTCCAGCAGTGTTCTGCCAGCAAATCCAGGCAGCTGTGCTTTGGAAGGGGCCTCTCAGCAGGACCTGGGAAACACTGGGCACCAGGGGCTTTCTGATAGGACTCTCAGAGTCCCGGATGAGAGGGACTGGGAATTTTCACAGACCCTGGCAGACACCAGCCATACCCTCCTGGAGGAGTTCTGCTTTCTGGTTGCAGATAAGGTCAGACTTAGAAGCACTTGCTGGTCTCAGCTAGCAGGGAGTCTGGGCGCCTGGATACACAGTGTAGATTGCTGTTCACCACCCAAAGCACCGGGCTAAGATGTGGGGATGGTATGCTTCCTAGAACGCAGATGGCTAGTGTGGTTTTGTTTATGCGTTTGTTTTCCTTTTTCATGGTCCCACATTTCAATAAGTCAGCCTTGCCGTGTCTCTTTCTGCTTATGAAAAGTGTAAGAATCTAGGGAACCCCCACAAATAGACAGGGGTTGTGGGGTACCTTCCTAGTCCATGTGGCAGACAGGGAAACGATCATAGAGTGGGGGGCTCAGTTCTAGGAGCCCCTAGAGCCATGTGTTTTCAGACACCCACAGAAGAAGCGGGGCAGAACCTGTGTCCTTTGGTCTCTGCTGATCCGTCCATCTTGGTGTGCCTTGCTGTGGGTTTGCTCTGCCTCAGTTAGGCAAAGTTATCTGGTCACTGGCCATTTGTAAGCTTATGGTGATTTGCCCGGCCACAGTTTCCCTGTGTTCCTAATAGATGTTCTTTTCTTTCTTTCTTTCTTTCTTTCTTTCTTTCTTTCTTTCTTTCTTTCTTTCTTTCTTTCTTTTTTAACTGCTTGGCTATGTGGTGAGACCGTGGAGAGGGAGGGGAAGGACTAAATCTCTGTTTATGTACTCTGAATGCATGAAGACGTACCAGAAGTGGAAGAGTCATAACTTTTGGCAGTTCAGTTTATAATCTTTTGAGAAACCATCAAGGTTTTGACACCAGCTTCACCACCTTACACTTTCATCAACAGGGCACGAGGTCCCCACCTTGTGCTTCATTTTGCGTCATATCCCTACCACTTGTCATTTCCTGATTGGTTGGTTTCACTGAGAGAGAGAGAGAGAGAGAGAGAGAGAGAGAGAGAGAGAGAGAGAGAGAGAGAGAGACTTGTATACACTAGGGCTCAAACCTGGGACCTATGCATGCTAAGCAAATGCTCTACCACTGAGCCACACCCCCAATCCTGCTCTGTAGTTATTTTTAATATTAAATGGGTGTATAGAACTGGTTAGTGTGTTTCCACTTTCATCTATGATTAGAGTTTTCTTCAAAAAGGTTTTGTTGATCTAGCTGTTTTGTCATTTTTGTTTGTGTTTTCTAAGTGTCAGGTTTAGTTTCATTGACTTTCTCTGTTTTTCCTTAATATGCATCTTGTTTTCCTGTATTCATCTTTATTATTCCCCACTCCCCATGGATTTATTCCGTTGTCCTTTCTCCACTCACTGTAAGGTGGGCTGTTGATGTGAGCTCTTTCTTAGCCTTGGTGTAGGCTCTTACAGCTGTGTGCCTCCCCTCTCAGCATTGCTTCTGCTGTGTACATTTTGGAATTTATTGGTTTTTATTCATTTTAAATGTAATTGGGTTTTTTTTTCTTTTAACTCTTTGGTCCTTGGGCCCACCACCCAGCTCCCAGATAAATCACACACAGAAACTTACTCTTATTTATGAATGCCCAGCCTTTGCTTGGCTTATTTCTAGACAGCTTTTTAAAAATTATCCTGTCTACCTTTTTACCTTTCTTCTATATTTCTTTCCTTCTTACTCCGTAGCTGTCTGTGTAGCTGGGTGGCTGGGCGGCTGGGCGGCTGGGTGGCTGGATGGCTGGGGGCTGGCCCCTGGCATCCTGTCTCCTTCTTTTCTCACTCCCCCCCACACCTCTCTCTCTTTATTCTCTCTGCCTGGAGCTCCACCTATCCCTCTCCTGCCTCACTCTTGGCCATGTGGCTCTTCATTAGACCAATCAGGTGTTTTAGACAGGCAAAGTAACACAGCTTTACAGAACTAAATGCAATACAAAGGAATGCAACACATCTTTGTATCATTAAACAAATATTCCATAGCATAAACAAATGTAACCCATCCCAAACTAATATTCCACAACCCTTGTGGGTTTTTTTTATTTGTGGATTGTTTTAAGAGCATAATGTTTAATTTCCACAATTTTGTGATTTCCCGAGTTTCCCCTTGTTACTGATATCTAACTTCACTTCTCTGAGGCTGAAGAAGATGCATTTTTGGGCGTCTGTCTTGGCAAAGCTATTGACCTGGGCATTATTGTGTCTACCTCCCATTGCCGCAATCCTCTTCCTGTCTGGACAACATGACTTTCCAAGGACTTACAGGACTGAAACTTTATTCCCCTTATTCTCCTCTGTTCCCACTTTGGAGCCATCCATGACAAAGCCATGACATGACCAGAGGAAATTAGAAAGTTTCTGCAGGTGCCCGTGGACAGGGGCAGGTGGGGGGGATCAGAAGGAGCCTGAGAAGGCTTTATGTTTTACTCAGGCTGATTCTTGTCACAGAGGCAGCCTGAAACAGTAAAACACAAACAAACAAAAAAAAGTCAAGCCATCAGAGAGAAGGAGATTCTGAGGTCCAGAGCTGCTCCGTTATTGGACTCACACCTCCAGTTTTCAGGAAACTGTCACACATAACGTGAAAGAATGACGCTTTCCAGGATGGGAGAGAATTGCAACGGCAGATAAACAGTTGTCACATCAGTAGATGTACCAAGAAAGAAGGGGAGGCATGGCTCAGTGGTAGAGTGCCTGACCGATAAAGGAAGAAATAAATCACTAGGACCTCTATATGACAGCAACTCAGTGGTAGGTCTACTCGACAAAGACTTTAAAATAGTCATCTTTAAAATGCCTTAAGAACTAATGGAGGATATAAAGAAATTTGGGGAATAATGTATGAATGAAATGAAAATGTCAATGAAGAGCCAGAAATAACTAAAAATAAATGACAAGATCTGAAAAGTACAGAGTTGAAATAAATTTTTTTACTAGAGAGAGTCAGAGGCATATCTGAACAATTGGAAGAGAGAATCAGTGAACTTGAAGACAGAAGAAGGGAAATAGTCAACCTGTGGAAAGAGAATTCTTGAGAAAAGTGAACAAGCCTAGGGGGCCCATGGAGCATCATTGAGATCAGCAAAAGCTCTATAGGAGTCTTCTAAAAGGAGAGAGGGTGGGGAGCAGAGAGTTTGAAGAGATGATTTCTGGAGGAAACCTCACAGATTTGATTAATGGCACTGATATAAACATCCAAGAAGCTCAAACTCCAAGCAGGATGAACTCAGAGAGGCCTACACTAAGACCCATCATAATTTAACCCCAAGGACGACATCTTGAAGGCAGAAAAAAAAAAAAGACTCGTCAAGTACAAAGGAGCCTTGACAAGTTTACTGATAGATTTCTCATGGACATTTAAGGCCAGAGGCCGAGGGTCAATACAGTCAAAGTGCTGGAGGTAAAACACTATCAGCCAAGAAGCCTGTTTCTAGCAAATTGTTCTTTAAAAGTAAGGGAAAAACAGACACACATGTGGCGCACATACATGCATGCTTGCAAAATACCTATCCACATAAAATAAAAATAAAATAAAAATTTGAATATGTATTAGTTATGTTTTTTGTTTTTTTTTATTTTAAAGACTTACTTATTAATTAGTATATGGGGTTCTTCCTGCATGTATCCCTTCAGGCCAGAAGAGGGCACCAGTTCTCATTACAGATGGTTGTGAGCCACCATGTGGTTGCTGGGAATTAAACTCAGAACCTCTGGAAGAGCAGGCAGTGCTCTTAACCTCTGAGCCATCTCTCCAGCCCTAGTTATGTTTTGAAATGATAAATGGTCAGCCTTCTGTATTCACTTTTTCCTCATCTATAAATTCAATCAATCACAGATTGAAAATAAAATAGTGTCCATGCTAAATATTGATAGACCTTTTACTCCCTGTCAGTGTCTTTAAATGTCATATAACAAGTATTTATATAGAATTTCCATTGTACTAAACATAAATACCAGTCTAAAGATGATTTCAAGTGCATAGGAGGATATACATAAGTTATATGCAAATACTGTGGCATATTATATAAGGGAGATGTGCAGGCAGACATAGTGCTGGAGACAGAGTTGAGAGTTCTATATCTTGATCTGTAGGCAACAGGAAGTGAACTGAGTCACTGGGTGTAGCTTGAGCATTAAAGACCTCAGAGCCCACCCCCCCACACACATAGTGACACTCTTTCTCCAACAAGGCCATACCTACTGCAACAAAGCCACACCTCCTAATAGCCACTCCCTATGAGCTTATGGGAGCCAATTACATTCACACTACCACACTCCTATATAGTCTGTTTCATCTTTTTTTGAGCCAGGATCGTGCTATGTAGACCAGCTGGTCTTGAGCTCATGGCTTCTGTCTCAGACTCCCAAATGCTGGGATTACAAGTGCGTGTGCAATACCTGATACCTTCCAACCTTAGCACTGAGTATGCTGTTCGCTGATGCTACTTATTTTTCAACTAAAATCCTGTAACATCTGAAATCTAGAGTTCTTTCTGTGATTGAAGAAATTTCCCAGATGACAAGTTAGGACACAGTCTCCCCAGGAGCACCGCCACAGAGAGTCCAGAGGTTTTGCTGCATCCACAGAAGGGAAAAGGCTGCCCCTAGTCTGCTGGCACCTGGTGGAAAGTCATACTAAAATTCACTGTACCTGACTAACCCTGACCCACTCAGTCCACACCAACGCCCACGTGAAGGAGGATCAGGCTATAGGGAGCGGGTATGCCCGGGTCTCACACTGAGCCTAGGACCTGCCCATGGAGTAGTCAAGTGGGCGTGTGTCTCCCTCCTCCTATTCCCAATGCAGGCCCCGGAGAGGGATGTATAAAGAGACATGCTCCCTGGTGTTTCCAACCCACTCAAATGATCCAATCATGTGTACTCTGCCCCCAGACAAAAGGGAAAGGCTGGTTGTCTGAATCCAGCCTAGAACTGAGCCCTGCAGGCAACAGAGTTGGAGAGCCACATTTATTTCCCTGTGGGTGGGGTGATAACATGGAGGCCCCTGTTTCCTCAGGCAATTACCAGCTATGTGCACCCCACCCTGGGAGGGCAGCCATGTGTTTGTGGGGGTGTCTGTAAATGGTCCCCTGTTTTATTGCAGGACATCAGGGCACATGACGGCTGTCAAGATGCTCCAGGGTTCTTTTTCTGTGTTCCTGCTTGGGGGGCTCTTGGGAGTCCTCCATGCTCAGCAGCAGGAAGTCATCTCTCCTGAGATCTCCACCACCGACAGGAACAACAACTGTCCAGGTACCTGGGCGGGGCTCTGGAGTTCTGGGACAGATCTGTATTCATAGGGTGAGGGTGGGCTAGCCCCGACTTGGCAAGCCCTGATGGGTTTAACATTGTCGCGCCCCTCCCCCCTGCCCCCAACTCCAGAGAAGGCCGACTGCCCTGTCAATGTCTACTTCGTGTTGGATACGTCGGAGAGCGTGGCCATGCAGTCCCCCACAGACAGCCTGCTCTATCATATGCAGCAGTTCGTACCGCAGTTCATCAGCCAGCTGCAGAATGAATTCTACCTGGACCAGGTGGCCCTGAGCTGGCGTTATGGTGGCCTGCACTTCTCGGACCAGGTGGAGGTGTTCAGCCCACCCGGCAGCGACCGGGCTTCCTTCACTAAGAGCCTCCAAGGCATCCGCTCCTTCCGCAGGGGCACCTTTACTGACTGTGCCCTGGCTAACATGACACAGCAGATCCGGCAGCACGGAAGCCGAGGGGTGGTCCACTTTGCTGTGGTCATCACCGACGGCCACGTCACAGGCAGTCCGTGTGGGGGCATCAAAATGCAGGCCGAGCGGGCCCGTGAGGAGGGCATCCGGCTTTTTGCTGTGGCCCCGAACAGGAACCTAAACGAGCAAGGCCTGCGGGACATCGCTAACACCCCTCATGAGCTCTACCGCAACAACTACGCCACCATGAGACCTGACTCTACTGAGATTGACCAGGACACCATCAACCGCATCATCAAGGTCATGGTGAGCGCCGGGGCAGAGGTTAAGGATAGTGTCCACTCACCAGTGAGGCAGCAGTCAGAGTTCAGTGGATCCCCCTGTGAGTGAGGCAGTTGGAGGAAGTCCACGATCCCCAACCAGACTCAGGAAGCATCTCCCAGGTCCCCAGGCTCAGGCTAATCCGGTCTCTGTCTTTTCTGCAGAAACATGAAGCCTACGGAGAGGTGAGTTGTCCTGTCACTACAGCCCAGCTTATGCTGCCTGTTGACAACCAAGACTGCTGACCCAGCAGAGGGCCAACGCCGCACTCCTGATTGCCCAGGGCCTCGAGCAGACCGGAGCGGCAGAAAGACTGGCGTCCACCTGCTCCATGGGGCCAGATACTCTTGAGCTTGCATGAAGCCCTATTCCATCCCTAATCCAATCCTGGCTGTTGAATCCCTAGAGGGCTGGTACTAGAGTTCTCTAACAAACACATGACTTCTGGGGAAGCTGAGGCATGTCCCAGACTGGGGGCTTTATCCAACCCAGACTGGAAGCCGTGTACCTGTCTCGGGGTCCTACAGCCTTGGGTACCCAAAGTCCCACCCCACTCCTTCTGTGGAAACAAGCCATCCTAGAGCAGCTACTTCCAAGAACAGCAAATCAGTCCCTGTATACAGATGGTGCCTAGCCATGACCAGAGCTCGTTGGTCCTTGTTACTGTCTGCCATTGCTCATCGCAGCCTCTCTTACCCCAAACCTGGCTAGATGATTTGACTAATCACCGGCCCCCACCTATCTAGTACCCTGTGTCTGGTCCTTCCTTCCACTCTGCTTGTCTGTATGGGTGTTTGGAGCTTCCTCTGAGAGTCTGAGGTTATGCCTGACCCTAGTCCATACCCAGCCGGGGACTTGACCCACCAACCTGACCTGCTGTTTGTCTGCCTCATTCCAGTGCTACAAAGTGAGCTGCCTGGAGATTCCTGGGCCCCATGGACCCAAGGGCTACCGAGGACAGAAGGTAAGAGGCCTGGAGAGCGTGTGGCCCGTGCTTCAGGAAGCCCCTGGCCTGCGGGAATTCCACAATGAAGGCCAGCTGGCTGTGGATGACTCAGCACTTCCAAGCTTGGAAAACCTAAACTTCGGATTTTATCCATTCTTTTTTAAATGGTATTTTGAGAAAAGTAGGAAATATTTAAGAAGTTTTTTTTTTCAATATGCCACTTAAAACTCATTTGTGAAGTAAGCAAGCAAGGTTCCTTTCTGTCAGTGGCGTGGTTGCCGATTGACAAGAGGCATCCACTTGGAGGTTTATTTGATTCTAGGCTTTGAGGACTCTGCTTTGAATGGCTACCTGGTATTTTCCTAACAACAGAGCTGTGTAAAATAAAGCCCTTCCGATTTCACTACCTTAGCGTCTTTAACCAGCAATTCACATGTCAGAAAGCAGAGGGGTAGGAAGGAGATGACGCCAGTCTCATGCAGAGGCTCAGAAAGGAGGTAGCGCATCCTCACACTCTTTGCGAGTGCAGTGAGTGAGAACCTCTACAGCAGCGGGTGGCTGGGTGAGGTGTCTCCTGCGCCAGCCGCACCTTGGTCTGGCTTCTTCCAGTCCTGACCACGAGTCATGCCCACCCTGCTACAGGACCACCTTACCACTTACACAGAAGCCCCTGGGTGACCCGGGGACTTCAGAGCAGAGCACAGCTGTGACCTGCAGGATATCTGACCCCTTGCTCTGCTTGATCTCCTCCATCCTCTTTCCTTTGCCTCTTGACTTCTTCTCTGTCCCTTTGCATTTAAAGTGGAAGGATATTAACAAATTGGTGCCTTTATTGTGTGTGTGTGTGTGTGTGTGTGTGTGTGTGTGTGTGTGTGTGTGTGTAAGGTTAAAACTTTAGCTCCCTGGGAGTCTAATTTTTTGTGGTTTTCTGAAGCTCCAGTCTTTCTAGTTCTGTCAATCCATGTCGTACCTATGCCAATCCCCTTCAAGAGGAATTAATGTCCCATGAGTGCCATGCTGGTCTCTGGAGAGCCCAGGGTCAGCTGTGGTCCGGGCTATGGTACAGAGGTCCTGAGCCCCAGCATCCCCAGCTAGAAGCTGCTCAGCCCCATTTTCAGTGTTGCTTCATGGAGAGCTGTCATCAAGACTCGGAGAAGAGTCAGCAAGAGCCTGGTGGGGACCACCAGGGCTCTCAGGGGCATCTGACCTTGTCCTAAGATGTTCCTACCTGGGGAGGGACCAACAGCTTCTGCCATACCACCTCTCGCAGATGACAGGATTCCCTTGCCTCAATTTACCCTTTACCCTGTCCTCTACTTTTAGGGTGCCAAGGGCAACATGGGAGAGCCAGGAGAGCCTGGACAAAAGGGGCGACAGGTAAGGTCCCCACATAGCCTCTGGCCCCTGACCCGACTCCCAGCTACTCTCCCCACCTCCAGGGTTGGGGTCACACCCAAGGTTCATTGTTCCTTCTTCACAGGGAGACCCTGGCATCGAAGGCCCCATCGGATTCCCAGGACCCAAGGCAAGTTCCCTACCTAGGGCTAGGATTGGGGAAGGGAAGTGGAGGAAGGTCAGTTTGGGTCAGTTACCCCCCCTGCCCTTGGGGACGTCCACAGCCCAGCCCCTGTTGCCAAAGAAGAGGAATTCCTCTACAGTTTGAAGATCACTCCAAAACTATGCATCCAGCTGGACCCCTCCTCTCTCAAGCATGTGTTCAGGACCCACATATGATCTCTAGGCATGACAGTCACTGCTGGGTCTCGGCTGTCCTTCGCAGCTGTCTCTCCAGGGTCCCACTGCACTCGCTGGCATGCCCTTGGTAACACACTGTCTTTTCCTTCTGCCCTTAGGGTGTGCCTGGCTTCAAGGGAGAGAAGGTAGGTTGACATAGAGAGCTACTGTGCCCTGACAGCACACAGGAGGCAGATGGAGGTCCCCCCCCTTGCCCCACCTGGAGGCAGACCAAGGTCCCTCCCACTGCCTGGAGGCAGACCTAGGTCCACCCCCCGCCCCGACACTGCCTGGAGGCAGACCAAGGTTCCCACACACACACACACACACCTGGAGGCAGACCTAGCCCCCCCCCTACTGCCTGGAGGCAGACCTAGGTTTCTGGCCTCATGTTTGGGCTGCGGGGAATCTACATTTGCACCCCAAAGACAACAGTGTCTGTGAAGCTTGGAAACTCACTAACACTTCTCTTGCCTCATGCACAGGGTGAATTTGGATCAGATGGTCGGAAGGTAAGCCTGAAGGGATGGGTGTGCCCTGCCATGTTGCTCCGAAGGAAAGGATTGGGACTAACCAGTCCTTTCTCTGTCTTCTCCAGGGAGCCCCCGGCCTAGCTGGCAAGAATGGAACTGATGGACAGAAGGTAGAGTCCCCAGCCCCACCCCAACTGCCAGCCACTGCCTCTCCCCACATGCTCATAAGTCTATTCGCACAGATACGTACCACACACACACACACACACACACACACGCTGGTCCTGGGATTCTGTCATAGAGACAGAATGCAGCAAACTGGGAATCACCTCACCATTCTGTGCTCTGACTAGGGTACAGCTGGCCCTGTCATACAAAGTCTGAGTGGCGCCATCACTGATGAGTGTAGACCCCCAGATCTACCCTCTGATATTCCCTCTTCTTCTTTCAGGGCAAACTGGGCCGCATTGGACCTCCAGGTTGCAAGGGAGACCCAGGAAGTCGGGTGGGTAACTTCACCATCCTCCCTGTCTATCACATGAAACATCATTCAGAGGACATGGCGACCAGGCTGGGCTGGAAGCCAGTCTTTGGATTCGCTCTTCTGCCCAACCTCTCCCTGCCTGGTCTTCACCCCAGTCTGGAGCTCTTCTAGTCTTGGGGTCCCAACCCCCCCCCAGGAGCCTATGAGCCAACCCTTGGACATACACAATTTCCAGACCAGGTGGAGTTCGTGGTCCTAGGCTGGGAAGTTCTGAAACCTGGATGCCCATCGAGGGCAGTGTTAGGCATGGTTCCTGTGGAGCCAGGACCTCAAAGCCTGAGTGAGCAGCAGCTCTGGGGAGGGCTCTGTGTCAGGGCTCTTGACCCATGGGAAGCACAGTCCACTGTGGCAGCATTCAGAGAAGCCTTTCTCATCTCCCTCAGGGCCCTGACGGATACCCTGGAGAAGCTGGAAGCCCAGGCGAGCAAGGAGACCAAGGTGCCAAGGTAAGGAGTTGGCTAGTAGCTCTAGAACAGGCTGTCACCACCCTCAGGAATCCCTGCCTTGGGACTCCCTATGCCAGCTCACACCGGGGTGAGGGGACAGCCCAGGCTGTGAAGCCTAGCAGGGAAGTCCCATCCTCAGATTCACTATTCAAGAGCAGGGTCACCTGTGGCACAGCTTGCCCACCTCCCCTTCCAATCTGGCAGAGACCCTGTGTCGTCCCCCCCCACTGCTCTTGGTAGCCTAGACCTTTAGCCACAGAATAGGCAGCCTTCCCTAGGAGACCAGACCATGCCCCTTCTGCCTGCTTCCTCCTTTGACTCCCCTCCCTAGCAATCCTGCCGTCACCAGGGCCTCTCACATAGGGCCCCTTCCCCAGAGGGGGCAGCAGACTTTACACTGGGCTCATGGGCTGGTCTTTTGGGTACCATGGCAAGTTCTTCCCCCATTATGCCTGGCATTCTGCGTGATCCAAGGACATGAGGGAATTTAGATGATCCTGCCCCACTGCCCAGTGCCTATGTGAAAAGCTGATGTCATCCCAACCCTTCCAGGGGGACGCTGGCCGCCCAGGACGCAGGGGACCACCAGGAGATCCTGGAGATAAGGGAAGCAAGGTGAGTTGCTGGCCTGCTCACTACCCTTGCCCAGGATGTGATCCACACGGTTCTATGCCCTCACACGTGTGGGGAGGGACAGTACAGAATGACTAAGGAAGACATCATGTCCCGGCCCTGGTGCATCCCTTAGCCATGCTCCCAGCCCTGCTGAATTGTCCCTGCCCCACACAGGGATACCAAGGCAACAACGGAGCTCCTGGAAGTCCCGGAGTGAAAGGAGGCAAGGGAGCACCTGGCCCCCGTGGACCAAAAGGAGAACCCGTGAGTTTACCCGAAGTCTCTCAGCCTGACCAGGCCCCTGCTTTGGGCTCTTCTGGGGCACCTCTGGGGCACCACTTTGGGCAGCAAGGTTGATGAAGGACCATTGGCAAATGGCACTGAGGATGGGCAGAACTCTCTGTTGCCCGTCAGCCCTTTTACTGCCATCCCTACAAAGCTTCCCCAGGGCTGAACATGGCATTAGGAACCCCATCCCAGGGCTGATCCTTAGAAGAGACAGTCTGAGGAGGCCTAGTCAAGGAATGATCAGGAATGACCATACTGGTTATCCAAGCCACATCCCAGCCATTGACCAGGACTTCCAGCCTGACCAGGAGCACCCCCACACCTAGCCCTGATTCCCCCGACTGGGACAAAGCTGACACAGAAGCAGTATGAAGACAGAGCCACAACCCCAAGCAGATATCATCGGGAGGCAACACCAGGCTCAGGGTCCCCAGAGTCCTAGGGAGAGCAGGGCTACAGGTGGCCCACGTGGCCCTCCCGGCCATCTCACTCTTCCCTCGTCCTCACGTCCATTCTCTGCAGGGACGCAGGGGAGATCCTGGAACCAAGGGCGGCCCAGGCAGTGACGGTCCAAAGGGGGAGAAGGTGAGTTGCTCTGTAAGGACCCAAGGGGTCTGCTCTGGACTCTCCCCAGAAAGCTGAGGGGCTTTGGTCCCTGCACTGTCTGAGACGGTAAGAACCATACAGGCAAGCTCCCACTCCCAGCTGTCTGCGGGGCTTCTGGAAGGGCACTGTCCATCCTATATGTGCCCTATACAACTACTTAGGCTGCATACTGCTCGGTCTTCCAGTATCTCCACGGTAGACATACACGTTCCCGCAGCTCCCACTGCCACAGTGGATGGCGGTGAAGGAGTTCTCCTCTGAGCTGGTTAGGGTCCCTTCGCCCCTGGAGTGATCTCAGCAGGTCTGTGGGGATGAGGGGATGTCAGGAGGAAGGACACTGCCATTCTGACACCGCCCTTCGCACACCGGTGTCTTTGTCCTAGTGGACTGAATAGCTCGTTCCTCTAACCCCGTCACCCCATCCCCCTAATACTGCCTCTGGAGAGGGGAACTCGGAGTTACACCCTGCAAAGCCTGACCAGACCTGTCTTCTCACAGGGAGACCCTGGTCCTGAGGGGCCCCGAGGCCTGGCTGGAGAAGTTGGCAGCAAAGGAGCCAAGGTATGCAAGGCAGGGGTGGCAGATACCAGACAGAAGGGGGTTATCTCCAGGACAGGAGGAGCAAAGGCCAGGGTGGAAGAGGCTATACCCACAACAGGGAGTAACAAAGGCCAGGCTGGAGGAAACTGTGCCCCATAGTCTTCCTGCCCCACTTAACCTTCTCATAGATCCAGATAAGGCAAGACCACTGGTGGGCAGTGGGCCCAGGGCAGGTTGACCTCACCCTGAACCATGGGGTTGAGGTCAGGACTCTGTAGATGTATTAGACCACAGCACCTCACTGTCTTCCCCACACTGCATTTCTTCTCAGGGAGACAGAGGTTTACCTGGACCCAGAGGTCCCCAGGGCGCTATTGGGGAGCCCGGAAAACAGGTTGGTAGCAGGACACCAGAAGCTCTGAGGCCATGACAGCACCCTGCCCCCCAGCTCCCACCCACTCCTAACCCCATTCTTAATCCCTAACTTCTCCACCCACTCCAACCCTCCACCTGTCCCCTATCTTGTTCCACGACTCCCTACTCCCTACCCTTCCCCCCAACCCTTTATCAAGTCCCCACTCTGCCCCAGGCCCCTAGCCCACTCCCAACTCTGCCCCCAGGCCCCTAGCCTACTCCCAACTCTGCCCCAGACCTCCTACCCACTTCCCACCCTACTCCACAGTCCTACAAACCCATATTTACCTACTTCCCACTCATCCCAACCCCTAACCCCAGGCAAGGTGGTGGCCCTGGTGCCAAGACCTACCATCTTCTCCGAGCTGGTCAAAGTAGGTTAGGTCATCACCATTTCAGGTGATAAGGCCACCTCTGACTGCTCTCCTGCCCTCAGGGATCTCGAGGAGACCCTGGTGATGCTGGACCCCGTGGAGATTCAGGACAGCCAGGTCCCAAGGTACATCCCTTCCTCCGGTCGATATGGGATGGGGCCCAAAGCAGTTGCCTGTGGAGGAACCCAACAGGAAAGTCTCAGGAGAAGCTTGGAGGCCCGGAGGAAGAGAGAGGCCTCCAGGGAGCCTCCTATTCCCAGCTCCTAGTGAGACTGGAGACCATGCAACCTGTCGTCTGCCCTCCCCAGCAATGACCTCTGGGAAGATGGCAGGGTCCTGAGGGGTGGGCAGCCATTTGGGTACTGCATGATCCTAGTGGCCTCTCGAGTGTGTGCCACAGCCCCTGGCTTATCTGGCACACCAATCGCACACACTCCCGTCCAGAGGAGGACAAGCAAGGCGAGGCTCACACCTTGTATTTCCACCCTACACAAGATAACCCCAGTCCTCATCTGCACTATTCGGATACCACCTCCTCCTCAGTCATGTCAACTAACTCAACCTTCTCCCTCAGGGAGATCCTGGAAGGCCTGGATTCAGCTACCCAGGACCCCGAGGAACACCCGTGAGTCATGGCATAGAAGAAGAACACCCAGGAAAACCCTGTGGACTGGGCCCCAAGGCTTCTGTGGTTCCCTCGATGTGGGACTAGGAATAGGGAGGGGGCGGGGGCCACCTGTCACTTGGTGCAAAGGCAGATCCAGCCAGCACCCAGAGACACCAGGGGTTAGATATAGCTCAGGATTGGCTCAGCATGTGTGGGTTCTGTGGCCTTTACCTGAGGTGTGTGTGAGCTTTTATACAAATTCTGATATGCAAGAAATCATGAGGGGTGACCCCAGCTCCAGGGGATGGTGGGCTTCTCTGCCTGTAGTTAGACTTGGGGCCTGTGACTGAGCCACCTGTCTGACCTTTGCTTGCTTCACAGGGTGAAAAAGGAGAGCCCGGCCCACCAGGCCCTGAGGTACTTGGGGGTCTTGTCCCGGTTAGCCTTTTCCTGGTGGGGTCGTGGAAGTCCTGCATGCCATGTCCACTTGGGAACCACCTTTCGGGCATGTCCTTGACCCAAGACAAGTCACATGAGCCCTGGCTGGGCTTTAACTGGTGGTGGTTCCTGTGTTGTGTCCTTTTCCAAACAAAACCCAGGGCTTCCCTGAAAATGCTGAAGTCTGAGTGTGGCTTGTGTTACCTCCAAGCTCCTGGAAGTCTGTGGGAGGTCCTGTCATGTGGGGTGGGTGGGTGTATGCCACCCACTGCCCACAACTAACATGTGTCCTGTGTCACAGGGAGGCCGAGGAGACTTTGGCCTGAAAGGAGCACCTGGAAGGAAGGGAGACAAAGGCGAGCCAGTGAGTGTCACCATCCTATGCCCAGGGCAACGGGCTAGCGCATGAGGAGGGCCTGAGATTCCTGGGAAAACACCCAGTCTGTCTGGCACCAAGCCCTTGATGGGAATGGTCAGACTCAGAGGCCTCTTCTACTCTTCACCCCATCCTCAGCCATCACCTCCTACTGGTCCTTTGGCACAAGCCTGGCCCATATCGTCTTCACTTCCATGTCCCTAGCACCCTTGGGTATCTAGATGGATGTATGGATGCAGGAGGAACAGTGAGGGCAAGACAGCACAGATAAGAACGGGTGGCAGATGATGGTGGATGGATGGATGGATGGATGGATGGATGGATGGATGGATGGATGGGTGGGTGGATGGATGATGGGTGGGTGGGTGGACGGATGGATGGATGGGGTTGGCAGTTCAGTGGTGGCTGGTGGACAGGTCATGAATAAATGGGTAGGTAGATTAGGCACACAGAGTGACTAGATGACCCTGGGATGTAGCAGCGTGAGTTATCCTGTTACTATCTTTGTGTTCCTCGGTGGCCTTCTACTCTCTCTTGCCTACCAGGCTCTGATAAGAGCAGCTCAGAACATTCCTGGGGTGATATCAGATTCAGGATAAAATGGGTGATGCAGTCCTTCATGCCACTGTACTCCCAGCAAAAGCCATTGACAGGGGAATCAATACTTCTTTGGGGCAAAGAGACCTGCCAGGGCTATACTGAGTCTACTTCCCTATTCCCCACAGGCTGATCCTGGTCCCCCTGGTGAACCTGGACCTCGAGGACCAAGAGGAATCCCAGGACCTGAAGTAAGCCACCTCTGTCCCTTAGGTTCATAGCTCCTGGGCCAGCCAGGCTGATGTACACAGAGCGTCCTGGTTCTGCCCTTAGTGGGCCCGTGAGTCGGTACACACTGAGTGGTGGTACCAGGAGCAACTTGAACCCATCAGTCTCACCTCTCACTGCTGTCCTTTGTCTTTCAGGGAGAACCTGGCCCTCCTGGAGACCCTGGTCTCACGGTAGGTGTCACGTAGTGTGGAGTCAGGACCCTTGTTTTTAAGTGTCCTTCTCTCTTCTGAAAAGCAAAATCCAAGAGCGTCAAGTACAGGGGTTTGGCAGGGCAAAGTCAGAGGAGGAGCTCAGAGGGCAAAGTTAGCAGGCATCCAGGCAGAGGTCAAAGCCAATAGGTTTGAGGTTGACCAGGGACAAGGTCAGAAGATGAATCAGGCTGGCAGGAGGTTGAGAGGGCAAAGTCAGCAGTGATCAGGTTGGCAAGGACAAGACCATAGGGTAGGAGTTAGTGGATGGAGTTGGCATGGGTAAGGTCATAGGGCAAAGCTGGAGATGTAGGTACCTCTCTACTCCACATACTGGCAGAGACACCAGCAGACACGGGGTCAGGGGCTCCTATGGAAGCTCTCATGCGATGGCAGGTGCTCCCTGCCTAAATGCACCCACTGGGGCTGTGTTGCAGGAATGTGACGTCATGACCTATGTGAGGGAAACCTGCGGGTGCTGCGGTGAGTCGGCCTAGTGCCAGAGTGCAGGAGGGATGGAGTGTATGGGGCGGGATCACTCAGGGTATCCCTGGCCCTGTACCCTAAGGGTCTTCCCCCTCTCTACCTACTAACCCTGTCATCCACACACACACTTCCAGACTGTGAGAAGCGTTGTGGTGCCCTGGATGTGGTCTTCGTCATTGACAGCTCTGAGAGTATTGGCTACACCAACTTCACCTTGGAAAAGAACTTCGTCATCAATGTGGTCAACAGGCTAGGCGCCATTGCCAAGGACCCCAAGTCTGAGACAGGTCAGTGAAGGCCATGAAGGACCCTGAGGCAGAAACCAGATCCCTGCCTCTAGCCAGGATCATGGCTTCGCCTGTGATTTCATTCAAGGTGGCCAAGCCCAGGTCACCAAGGTGGGAAAACAGTCTGGTAGACACTGTTCCCGCTTTTGTACCCTTGTAGGCACACGTGTGGGTGTGGTGCAGTACAGCCACGAGGGCACTTTTGAGGCCATCCGTCTGGACGACGAACGAGTCAACTCCCTATCCAGTTTCAAGGAGGCTGTCAAAAACCTCGAGTGGATTGCCGGTGGCACCTGGACGCCCTCTGCCCTCAAGTTCGCCTACAATCAGCTCATCAAGGAGAGCCGGCGCCAGAAGACCCGGGTGTTCGCAGTGGTCATCACAGATGGGCGCCACGACCCCCGCGATGATGACCTCAATCTCCGGGCCCTGTGTGACCGAGATGTCACCGTGACAGCCATCGGCATTGGTGACATGTTCCATGAGACGCACGAGAGTGAAAACCTCTACTCCATCGCCTGTGACAAGCCGCAGCAGGTGCGCAACATGACACTGTTCTCTGACCTGGTGGCTGAGAAGTTCATCGATGACATGGAAGATGTCCTTTGCCCAGGTGAGTGGTGACCCCTAGCAGGCTAGTAGGTGACCACTGAGGGCCCAGCAGGAACTAATAAAGACCTGTTCTCTTTTCTCTCTTCTAGATCCCCAGATCGTGTGTCCAGAACTTCCCTGCCAAACAGGTAACACGGGTGCCTGAGACCCTAACCCCAGACAAGCAGAGCAGGCCCAGCATCTTTCCTGTTCTAATAGCCAGGGATGCTGCAAGGAACTGTGCAGCCTCAAGGGTGTACCATTGTGGAGGTGCTTCCTTGGGGAGAAACCCTTGAAGTTCACCCCTGGCATGGTAGAGTCAGGAGCTCAGGGTGAGGACTGGCTCCTGGGAGCATATAGTGTCATCCTGAACCCCTGTATGGTACCATCTGGGCAGAGACTGCTGGCCTGGCTGTGCTTGACACTTGGCCACTGACGAAAAAGGCACTTGAAGACAAAGCGAGTCTCATGCAAGAGTCTGAAGTCTTCCTACCACTGGGGACTCTCCTTTTGGTCCATAGGGGCCAGGCCCTGGACAGACTTAGCTAGAACCATCTATTTGCCAGGGCCTGGCAAGCTCTTGCCAAAAGATACAGCCCTAAAACTGATGGGTGGAATGGCTGGTGTAAGATGGGGAGTGGGGGCAAGCATGCTGCTGCCCACCAGTAGTGGCTTTGCTTCTAACCCTGTGGCTGCCTTTGTGCCCTTTGTGGTAGGAGGCTGGAACCTGAGCTGCTACTCCCAAGGGAGCGTAGAGGGGGTCCCTGATGTGCTGAGAGTCCCTGCTAATACCTCCCCAGACACTGCTGCTGAATAACTGGGCAAGAGCCTCAGGGAGATGCCCCAGGGCCTCGAGCCTTGCAGTCTGCTCTGCAAGCCCTGCCCCTCCCAGGAGCATTAAGTAGGGGGTGGGATGGTTTTGATGGCCTGCAAAGTCTCAACTTTCTTGGCCCCTCCCAAAGACAAGGTGGCCACTGAGCATGTGCACAGGCCCTGAAACCACCTAACAGAAGGGACCATGTGGACTGGGAGTCAGGGTCTCACATTATTCAGCAGAGATCTTTACCAAGAAAACACTCTCAGCCTCAGCCACCCGGGGGAGGATTGTGTGAGGCTCAGAGCACGGGCCTCAAGTTGCCAGTTCTGGTCAAAGGCTAGGGCTCTGTCTGCAGGGAGACCCCCAACCCCAGCTCCTGGCACCTTGATTAGCTCCCAAGTGAACTGTACCTTTGGTGTTGGACTGTAGCGCAGTATTGTACAGGATGTAAACCTTTAGTGAGGTTTGTGTAAGGGAGGCTGATACCATAGATGGCTCCATCCCCACAACACAGAAGCTGGACCTTGGTCCCTGAGTCTTGCTCCTGATCGTAGTGGGAAACGTCCAAAGTGTGACACCAGCTGCGTTTCTGTGGCTGTCTTTAAGGAGTAGAAAGTTCCCCCTTGTTGAGCTTCATCATCAGGACAGGAGGTGTTGAATCTTGTCACTGGCTTGTTCGTTGGTGACTACTCATGAAGTTTCTTTAGCTTTGAAAGCGATGGTCAGTCATGTTGATGTTCTATTGTTGGGTGAGCCTTGTTCCCTGAGGCACAGCCCTGGCTCTTGGTCTACCTCAGTTTTGCCTGCTGAATGTGGTCAGTTCATGCTTTATGGAGGAGAGTTTGCTTCTGTGTTCAAAGAGCTGTCTCTCTGCATCTTCCTTTTTGGTGATATCTGTGTCTGGCTTGTATAGGGTGACTGTGGGTGGCAGGGTGCAGTGGCTCCAGGATTGGGGCCAGGATCAGACAGTTTCTACCTGTGGGCACACCAGTTCTGGAGGGTAGCGAGACCAGGAGGAATTGGGGATGGCAGCCTACACTAAGAGCTTAGGACCCCACAAAGCGCTCTTTACTAGGTCCCCCCACATTTCCCAGCTCCCTAACCCCCTTCTACTGACCTTATAAAGCAATTTGCATTCACTGCTATAGTAATTTCAAGGTGAATTAGGTATGGTGTCTGGGGACACAGTGACTGTAGGCGGTGTCTTTACGAGTGAAGTCGTGGGTAAGCGTCCTTGTGAGCATTTCTGATGTGAATACAGTGTTAACAACACACTTCCAACTCTGACATAGCCCTGACCCTCTGAGCCAAGTAGCCAGCCCTGTCCACCCAGAAGCCTGCCTCAGGCCAGGCATGGGGTCAGTCCTTAGGGACTGCTGAGAGTGTCTGACAAGCTCAAAACTGCTGGGAGAAAATTGGTAACAACCATGGCATCAAAGACTGCAGTGAGACCTGAGCACTAGTTGTGGAGAAAAGAAACAAGAGCCTTTAGAGAAGGGAGTGTCCTCAGGGAGGCCTGGGGTCCTGCGGCCTAGTCCTGTGATGGACACATTTGGGTTTCCTCATGGCTCCTTGGTTACCAGAGAAAAGGGAGTGAGTTTGGCCATGACATCCATTGAGTCATCCTTTCTCATCCAGCAGGCGCTGGAAGCCAGAAAGAGGGAGGAGTAAGGGGGGAGGGTAAGAGGCAGAGAGAGGAAGATGCAACAAAGGAGAGAGGAAGGAACAAAGAAAGAAAAAAGAGAAATAGAGGCACAAAGGGAGGGGATAGGACAAAGGGACAGAAGCAGAAAGGGATGGAGAGAAAGAGGCAGATGGAGATACAAAAAGAGAAGAGAAAATAAGAGTCGGGGAAGAAGGGGGAGGTGGCGAGGAAGGAGAGGAGGGAAGAAGAGAGGCTCTTGTTCACCCATGATGTCTACACCACTATCCTGGACCCTCAAGGACAGGTCCTGGGAAAGCAGATCATGTCTGGGACAAAGTGTCAGCAGTGTGGTTCTGTCTGTGGGCGCTTTCCGGAGCTGACTCGTCTAGGGATGCCGAGACAGAGCACTGAACTGGAGGAGTTTACAAGATTTGTGCACGTCTCTCAGTTGGGTTTGGGCGCTAATGCTCCATGCTGAGTTTCCCTAGAGCTCTATGGACACCCCCAAACTGCTACAAGGCTAAGTCTCCTGGGCTGTGCTGCTTGCTCTCAGCTTCTTTTCCCCAGCAGGCCTCCCGCCTAGGCCAGATACCACCACCTGCTCAATCTCTCCCTGGCTCAGTCTCTTTGGTCCTAACTACTGTCTGTGGTCAGAGGCCTAAGGAGGGCTGGAGGCCAGCCATATCCACTGGAGCCCCTAAAGTCTTCTCTGGACACTCCCTTACAGATGAACCATGGCCTGGCAGCAAGCCCCCGGTCACCTTCCTCCGCACGGAAGAGGGTCCGGACCCTACCTTCCCCAAGACCATCCCCCTGATCCAGCAATTGCTAAACGCCACGGAGTTCACTCAGAACCCATCTGCCTACTCCCAGCTGGTGGCTGTGATGGTCTACACCGCCGAGAGGGCCAAGTTCTCCACAGGGGTCGAGCGGCAGGACTGGATGCAGCTGTTTATTGACACCTTTAAGCTGGTGCACAGGGATATCACAGGGGACCCAGAGAGTGCCCTGACACTCTGCTAAAGCCCCGGGGTTCACCATGAGCAGACAGCCCGAGCTAACCCCTCAATTCTTATAGCTTCCCAGGGCTACCACCATAAGCTTAGGCCTTAGGCAATGGGGACCTGCCCTCCTAGTCCTGAGGCCAGAGTCTAAGTCTTTACCATTATTCTCTCTGGAGGGCCCCTCCTACTCCCTCCAGCCGCTGGCAGAGCTGCCATCCTTAGCTTATGGGCATACTACTCCACTGTCACTTCCGTCTTCCCATAGCCTCTCTTGTGTCTGTGTCCCCTCCTCTTTTGTTCCCCTCGCTCCTGTTTTTTTTTTTAAACAAGGACATCAATGATTGGATTGAAGGCCCACCTTAAACCCCAGAAGTTTACATCTGGCAAAGGACTATAAAGGGCATTAATATTGAGGTTCTTGAGATGTAAACTTCTGGGAATCTTTCGGCTGAGCACACCGCCTCAGTCAACCTGAGCTATCCTGTGTTTGAAAGCACAGACTGGGATGGGGTGCCATCTGAGTGCTTGGGAAGGTCCCCTCCTTTCCTGCTTTTGATTTGGTGTTCATGTTTGGTGGCAGGTATGTGTTTATGGCCTGCAAAACCATAGGGATGTAACAAGGGCCTTAAAATACCTCCGCCTCTGTCATGCCCAATAAATCAAAGTACCAGAGGTACCAGAGCAGGTCTGCCAGTGTGCCCCCAACACCTGCATGCCCAGCCAGGTCTCTGGATGTATGAAGGCATCATGAGAGTATCCAAAAGGCAGGGCTTTTGATACCCTCAGTCACGTGACCGAGAACCATAAAGGCATCCTCTCCCCAGTGTGAGGACTGGGCTCAAGGGACCTTGTCAGGCTGGACTAATGTCCCGTTCCTGTCTGTGCCCCTCTAGCCCAGGCTGAGACTTATCCTCCTGGGAGGATGGCATCCCTCTCTGTTGTGAGGTCACAGAAAGGACCCCCACAGACATGGAACACAGAAATCCCCGAGTCCCCAAACTCCCAATCACAAATGGATCTTCACCAGCCTTTCCTGGTTTCCCCCAGGCCCTATTGATGTTGATGTTAAGAAAAAAAAGTCCCCAAGCCAACCACCCCTACTGTATGTCTGCCTCTGAGTTTGCGGTAGTAGCTGTGAGGGTGCCTGTCAGTTATGAGGAGCTAAGAAGTCCAGTTGTCTCCCAGAAACAAGTTTCTAGACACTCTGAGCAGATCTGAGCAGATCCCAGGGATGGTGAAGGGACAATAAATAAGTTATGTGACTAGCAAGCTCTGTAAAAGGACAGACCCTATCTGCAGGCACTCCCTGGCTCAGGGCTCAGTCTCAGGGGGAGTGAGCCATGTTAAACATGTTATAAAAAGATGAAACCTGTAACTTAATGCATTGCTGTGGTCAAATGGCAAGCTGGGCTAGTATACACAGGGATGGACCCTCACGCACCACTGGGGTTGGGTGGGGTGGAGAGTAAGCATTCTGGCAGCTGGGGCCTGCCTCAATATCTGTGGTCATACATGATTGGAGTCAGGCTATTCTCAATGAGATTCCCTAAAGTCCCAAATGGCTGGGCCATGGCAGCATGTACAGGTGAGCCAAGCTCATCTTCCTCTAAGGAGAGCCTAGATGGATGCCCGGTGAATAGGGAGCCAGGCCCTAGCCGGTGGTCTCTGACACGTGCGTGGCGGTGTAAGTGTGGCCTCAGCTTCCATAGTACTGCGTGTCAGGGCTGATGACCATCCCCTAGAGGAAAGCATCTCTTGGTGTCAGTGAGGCCACAAAGGGCCTACCTGGACTCCTTCAGTCATACCCTAGCAGCATACCAAAGCTACAGTGAGTGCCAGGACACACGGGCCCTTTCTCTTCCTGGGCAATGTGTGACTCAGACAGACAGCTCAGAAGTAAGTGGTTCCTGGAAGAGGGAGTCAGATCCAGAGGCCCTGTCATGCCTCCCGACAAAGATGGTCGTTATGTGAGTAACTTTATCCTTGGCTGAAGGTGGTCTTTGTGCTGTTGAAGGTCCCAAAGGTAGCTGGTTTATGTTGAGACATGCCTGGTGACAAAAGATGGATCTTCTGGCCTCTAGTCAGATCTCTAGTCCTCTAGTTTGGGACCACTTAAGAGACAGTCCCAAAGGAGCCTGAGCCAACTACATCACCTGAGACGGCTCTGCTGAGGTCCATTGTGGCTGTGGGTGAAGCCCCAAAGTCCCATGATCTGGGATCCAGTGGGCAAAGTGTAGGCAGAGATGGGATGAGTCTCGAGCTGGCCACCCCTTGCACGCCCGGGCCCACCTTACGTCTTCCCTGCAGAGCTATATGTGGCCCAGTGCACACAGCGGCCTGTGGACATTGTCTTCCTGCTGGATGGCTCGGAGCGGTTGGGCGAGCAGAATTTCCACAAGGCCCGGCGCTTCGTGGAGGAGGTATCGCGGCGCCTGACTCTGGCACGGAGGGACGATGACCCGCTCAACGCCCGCATGGCCCTGTTGCAGTACGGCAGCCAGAATCAGCAGCAGGTGGCCTTCCCACTGACCTACAACCTGACCACCATCCATGAGGCACTGGAGAGAACTGACTACCTCAATTCCTTTTCTCACGTGGGTGCCGGCATCGTGCATGCCATCAACAATGTGGTGCGGGGTGCACGGGGCGGGGCGCGGCGTCACGCAGAGCTCTCCTTTGTCTTCCTCACGGATGGCGTCACGGGTAATGACAGCCTGGAGGAGTCGGTGCACTCCATGCGCAAGCAGAATGTGGTGCCCACCGTGATCGCTGTGGGCAGCGACGTGGACATGGATGTGCTTACCAAGATCAGCCTGGGTGACAGGGCAGCCATATTCCGGGAGAAAGACTTTGACAGTCTGGCCCAGCCCAGCTTCTTTGACAGGTTCATCCGCTGGATCTGTTAGCGCCTGCCCACCGTGCCCACCCATCCCTCCTCCATCTCCTCTCTGTGGTGCTAACAGGACCCCAGCTCGGCCAGTCCATGCAGGACTGTACACTGGGTCTTCCTGGAGAGTGAAGCCCTTCTCCCAAGGTCAGGACAGGAGGACTCTGGACACAAGCCCCCTTGCCCTCTTCAGCTCCCTCGGTGTTCCCTCCCACTTCTCCATCCTACTATACCTTGCTCTCGAACATTGGAGGACCCCAGAGTTCCCCCACTGCCTTTGCCCCTCCACTCTCCCCGCTCCTTTTCATGCATCCCACATTCCCTTCTGAGGCTGTCTGCTGGCCTGCACCAGTCTTGCCCAGGGCCCTGCCCTTCTCTGCCCATATTTCCTATATCAGATCAGACCTGAGAGCCCTGTGTCACACACCCATTGGCCCAATAAAGGTTTTGAACCTCCTTGCTGCTGCCAGATCCCCAGTGTCTGTGCCCAACCAGGTCTTACCCCAGGCATGTACCACACTGGGCCTTCTCCTAACGCTAAGGGGACACTTGGGCTAGCTACATGCCCAACAGAATCCACCATTCCCTGGCTCCCAGCTCCAGTTGCCCTACCCTCATGGGGCAAGGACTCCCCAAAGGTGTTGACTGTCTACAATGTCCCTAGTGAGGATTCAGCAAAGCCTCAACATGGACTCCACCCTGTCCAGTGAGCTCTCAGCTAGATTTGCCACCCTGTGATGTGAGCTGTCTCTTAGTCCCCAGTCAGGGCAAGGTGCTAAGAGACTACCCCGTAGCTTGAGTGAGATACTCACGGAAGGACATATAATTCGTGAATTGTGGATAAACAAGATAAATGACCACCAAAAGTCAGCCTTACTCATACCCTGAGGCCTTCCACACTTACAGCCATGGAGGCTCCACAGAGAACTGTAGGTTCTCCAGGACAGGTGGGTCCTGGGCTGTGTCCCACCAACATGACTGAGCATGGCACCTGAGTGGCCTAGAGTTTATTCTCTGCAGAGAGAGAGGGGCTGACCTGGTGTTTGTGAGGCCCTGGGTTCGAACCCAGCAGAGGACGAAAAGACAAAAGACAAAAGAACTAGAAAGGGGAAGCTCATGGGGTCATGGACATGGAGGCCAGCAGTCCAGGTGTGAAGTTGGCAGGGCTGGGGGCCCTGCCTGCACCATGGAGGATCTGTCCTAGCTCTGAGGCCTGAGAGGTGGCACTCCCCTTGTCTTCAGAAGCCATCAGCACCACAGCAGGCCTCGTGAGATGTTCTCCCTATGTCCATCTGCCCAGATTCCCCGTTTTTCCATTGCTTTTCAGAACTGGATACATTTTTCCTGCGCCTCCTGGTTTACAACAGGAGCTGATAGGAAAGACAGTTCTACTTCACAGTATATGTAGGGAACTACTTCCAGCTCCGGGAACTTAGAAGGATTTTTTCCCCCAAAAGTTGGACCAAGTAAAACTGGTGTTGACTCCTTGAGTTTTCCACTGGCTCTTCCCTCCTAATAGTAACAAGTTCTAATTAGTTCTGCAGCTCTCGAGGCCGATTCTACCTCTACTTTTGGTACTGTAGATCTAAAGCCCTGCTATTTCAATCAACAGCCACTAATTCCACTTCAAAAGTGGCCTGCATTGGTGGAATCTTGGCATCTCCCTCTCTCCAACCTCTCCCATTCTGGCTCACGCTGCAGCCTTTTTCCTGCTCACAGCCATACTGACATCTAGTGTCCTCTGATAAGTTTGCCTGCTCCTGCCTAAGGACAAGGACTTGGCGTCTTTGAACTTATTTGTTTATCGATATCAAAAGCAGCCATATCCTGCTTCATTCCTGGATGTGCAGTGAACATCTCTCTCTCTGGGAGGGCAGCCGGGGTTATCTCCCTTTTTTGCATTTTTGTGCGTTTGGTGGACCCTTCCCATTTCTTTTGGTTTATCTTCACTAAGTACCTTATTTTTCATTTGCTGAACACTTACGCTTTGTGTATACTTAAACCGCTTGCTTTAAGAAATGTTTATAATCACATGACTCTTACTAGTGATCTTGGCTACATCTTAGTGTTTCCTAATAACTTAGGCTTTGTAAGAAATGGATCTCAGTTGTGGTACTGCCAAAACTTGGCAATGTCCTCCTCAGGCAGCTGCTTCACAGTCTTCAACTGCTGAGCAATTGCCACTGTCTCCCAGCTGTCTGCTTTACTCCAGATTGCCCTTAAAAAAAAAAAAAAAAAAAAAAAAAAAAAAAAAAAAAAAAAAAAAAGGCTGCTAATCTTAGTGGACCAGGGCCCTCCATATTCCAGAAAAACCTCTTCTCTTTGCAATGGGTGACATTTACAAAGACCTTCTCTCCATGTTGGGCCATACTCTGAAGTACAGGCCTTTGGAAGTCAACACATGCATTTAGACCTAAGCATCCCTGCTGTAACTCTGGCCACACGGCCTGCAGCAGAAACGCCCTAACCCTAACTCTGTCTCCCTACAAAGAATCACACAGAGTCCTAGCAATAAGCCCTACAAATAAGTCCCCACAATCTGAGTGTTCACCCAAGACTCTTATACATTTCATTAGCAATCCCACAAGCTGGGAATGTGGGATGACATGGAGGACCCCTCCACCCTCCAGAGTATAGACCACAGGACTATAACCAGGACCTCGCAGAGGAAAAGGAACACCCTTCACTGTGACGGACCCAGGATGGTATGAAAGCCAATCTCACAGAAGGGACTTTCACACACTAATGATATGGGAAAGGGTTCTGTTTTAGTTACGGTTTCTGTTGCTTTGGAGAGACACCATGACCACAACAACTCTTATAAAGGAAAACAGTTAACTGGGGTGGCAACTCACAGTTTCAGAGGTTGACTCCATTATCATGGTGTGACATGGCGGCGTGCAAGCAGACATGGTGCTGGAGCTGAGAGTCCTCCATCTTAATCAGCAGGCAACAGGAAGTGAACTAAGACACTGGGATGACTTGAGCATATATGAGACCCCAAAGCCCACCTCCACAGTGACACACTTTCTCCAATAAGGCCATACCCACTCCAACAAAGCCACACCTCCTACAGTACCAGTCCCTTTGGGAGCCATTTTCTTTCAAACCATCGCAGGTTCCACTCACTAGTGTCCCTTCAACAGTCACCCCAAACCAATAAATGCTACAAAGCCCCCTCACCAACACCCCTACCCAATGTGCCCATAACACAGTCCCTTCACAAATAACCCTTTACCAACATAGCATCACACTCTTCTTATTTATTATTATTATTATTTGGGGGGGTGGTTCAAGACAGAATCCTATTTCATACTATACAAGGCTATACCATACTAGGCTTCTCTCCACCATGGTGGGAACAGCCCATCTCCCACCCTGCTTTGGGTCCGTCATAGCCATTGTTCTAGTTAGTTTTCTTCCTATGCTGAATAACCAACAAAAAGCAATTTGGGAAGGGAAGAGTATGTTTGACTTATATTTTGATGTCACAAACCATCATTGAGGGAGATTGTAGCAGGAGCTCCAGCAGAAACCATAGAGGGCTCACTCCCCCTGGCTCATACCCAGCCAGTGTTCTTATACAACCCAGGACCACCTGCATAGGGGTGGCACTGCCCACAGTGGTCATGGCCTTCTCACATCAACCAACAATCAAGCAATTCCCCACAGACACGGCCACAGGCCAGTCAGATCTCAGCGTTCCTCAGCTAAGATTCCCTGACTCAGGTGACTCTTGGTTGTCGACAAACTAAGCAGGATGCCTCTTCATGAAAATGATAACACACCCAACTCCGCCGCCTACGCACCCCCAGAACACACGTGCTGGAAGGCAGAGTGTCAACCCAACCCTCTCTGCTGTCCTGCAGCCTCTCTGGGTTACAGTTGCTGGGGATATGTCTAGGGTTAGGGCCCTAAGTCCAGGAGACCTAGCAGAATCTCTTCTTTGCCTGAGGAAGGGCTAAAAGAAGCTGTACCCTGGAGAAGTAAGTCTTCTGGGCCACTGTTGTGTGTCTCCTCGGTATGAAGTGCAAAGCCTGGGCCCGGGAACTGGATGGAATCAAGTTCTCTGTCCTCAATGTACTTGGATATCAAGGAAAGAATAGAGAATCATCACCTGACTGTCCCTCCCCAAGACAGCCCCAACCCTGGGCAGGACACGCATTTGAGACTAGCAGCTCAGACAGCCATGAAAGATCCCATGGGCTAGAGCAATATACCAATATACCTCCAAATGCTCTTTGGGGGCAGCAAGGGGCCAAACCCCAGAGTCATCCTTGTTCTGTCTTGGACAGGAGCACAGGCATTTGTTATACACAAGTTGGCCAGGACCCCTCAGCGGAACTGGCTGCCCCCCACAAGCACCTTGTTAGGTTCAGTCTAATTTGTAGAACTTCCCGCACTGAAGGATCCACCCCTTTGCCAGCAACACATCTGAACCTTTGGTTCATGTTGCTTCCCCTGGTTGATGACTCTTCCCAGAAACAAGTGACTTAAATTTTCAGATAGCAAATCTGTCCTAAAAGGCATTTAGATTTTCTGCCTCACTTAAGAAGAATGTACCACAAGCTGTTTTCTTTTTATGTGCTGTGTTGATAACTGCAACCATACTTGGGAGACTTTCTCATGGAGTGGTACATCTGAAAGTCATTGGGGTGAGGGTTTTTATTAGTAATGGAGAATAGAGAGAAGATGTGAACCACGAAACAGCTGAGGATGGAGGACGGGGGAAGCCCCCCGTAATGGTGACACGGAAGCTAGGAGCAGACTGTCCAGTGAAGGGAGAGAATGTCCTCACAGCCCTCAGGAGCCAGACTTTCCCCAGTGTGAAGGCTTGGAGCACTACAGTCTCTGTCCCTTGCTACATGGCTGTGTTGGCTGCTCTTATGTCAACCTGACACAAACTAGAGTCACCAGCAAGGAAAGAACCTCAATTGAGAAAATGCTTCCATAAGATCTGACTGTAGGACATTTTCTTAAATAGTGATTGATGGAGGAAGGTAAGCAGCTCCCCTCCATGGCTTCTGCATCAGTTCCTGCCTCCAGGTTCCTGCCCAGCTTGAGTTCCTGTCCTGACTTCCTTTGATGATGAACAGTGATGTGGAAGTGTCAGTCAAACAAACCCTCTCCTCCCCAGGTTGCTTTTTGGTCATGGTATTTTGTCAGAGCGATGGTGATCCTAACTAAGACAATGGCAATGAGTTCAGTGCTCAGAGCATCCTAGAGCTGGCAGCATCCCCATAAACACTCCATCTGGGAATCTGGAGCTGGGGCTTCATTACTCACAAACGAAGGAGTCCCCTGGTCCTGCTCCCGATTCCAGTCTCAGCCTTGCCTTGCCCCCAAACCCAAGCACACCAGGCAGGTTTGTGTTCAGAATTTACTAGAAGCCACAGATAACAGAGGGTATCAGGCTAAATGCCTGCAGTAGACCACCGCCAATCAGACCCTACTCCCTACCCCAAACCACCTCCGTTGCATCTACAGCATCCTACACAGACAGTTGTGTGTAGAGCCCCAACCTGACACTGCTGACGTCATGGCTGAATCTTCCCTCCAAGGAGGCTTGGGTCACTTAGGATAGGTAAAGACCCCTGGAAGTTGGACCATTCATGGCGCGGGGGGGAAGGGGAGCATCTCTTTATTCCCTCCGTGCTTCTAGGCTATCCAACACAAGTGCAGCCTGGGTCTTGGCTTCCTGCAGAAGGCTGGAGATTCGATGGCGCATCTGACAGACATAGAGAGATATGTCATCCTACCCCCTCCATGCTTGCTGTGACCTGCTGCTCCTAACAGAAAAATCTCAGGCTCCTACTGCCACCTCCCCATGGCATACCCACCTCACAGTGACTAGGGTCATCTTGGACAGCCACTCCTAGATGTATCAGTGTGGGTAGAAGTTTTGGAGACAGCCATACCCACTGACCCTCCACAGACTCCCATCCCGTTTCTTCTACTTCTGCCCAGACTGCTGAGGGGACAGCTGTATCCATAAGACCCAGAGGGCTCACTCACAGAGGTCATATTATCTAAAGTTGGTCAGGGAGGGGCTAGACCCCAAAGATGCCCAATTGCTAGCATTCTACTTAAGAACTGAGCCCTTAAAAAAAAAAAAAAGCTCTTTCAAAGTTGTCACAAATATCTAGGAGACAGATGCTTAAGAATGGCTGTCAGAGCTAGGGTATGGAACAGTGTGTCTGCTAATTGACAGAGGGTTCCTTTGAAGCAATAAAAATGTCCTGGAACTTGCTAGAATGATGGCTATACAATACTGAGAACGTGCAAAAATCCTACCGAATTCTATGTTTTAATATAGGAATTTGTATGTTCTGTGATTTTTACCTCAATAATACAATAAAATTGCCATGCAGCTGTTATAAATGCTGAGATTGTGTTCATTGTTTAAAGCCATTATTTTTCCAGTGCCTGGGGTATTGGTGCTTGGGGGTCCCCAGGCCTGGAATTGCCAAGTCTTCAACTCTACTATAAGAGCAGGGTAGGTGGTATGGGCACTGGGGCACTATTTAGCAACTTTTCATCTCCTAGTCAGGTCTGGACCCATGGGAAGGGGGATGTCAGTGTATGCCCGCAGACACCTGATCACCCTGTACCCATGGCTCCAGGAGAGACACCAAGAGCCTGTTCCTTCAGGTGACCAGCAAGAGTCATCCCTGCCCACGACAGACATTGCAGGTCCCTGGGTGGGGCCTGGCATCAAGTCTTCCCCCTGCCCACCTTCTCTTTAAATGCATCATCGGTCATGTCCTTCAGGTTGATGAGCACATTGAAGTATGCACCAAACACGCCTGTCTCCAAGGCTTTGGCTGCCACCTGAAGAGACACCAGTGAAAGGGGATGGTTCTGGACCCACAATGCCTCTGTGCCTCTTGTAAATATCAACAACCCTCCTGTTGAGACTGAGCAAGCTGACCCATTCTATGGGTTGACAGGCAAGGGCTTCATGCAGGGACCTGCATTCTTCAACCACTAAGCCTGACCCTACCCAGAGATCAGGCTACCATGGCCATGTTGGTCTGAGACCTGAACTGAGAAAAGGAACCCACTACTAATTTGAAGATGCGGCTCCTGGAGGCCTGGGGAGGCTATGAAGGTATACTTTAGAGGCTGTGGATCCCTCTGAACCTGCCCTCAGCAGTTATCTGCCTGCAAACTAGAGCCACTCCCAGTAGAGAGGATCAGTTCGCTGGGGCCTCCAGGCCATACTCTGAAATACACTGCATACTGTAGGGTTTCTGGGTTAGTTGTAGGGGCCATAGGTCATGCCTCTGCTTTGTCCCATCCCCCATACAGGATGAGTGATGTCCACTTCCACAGGCTGGCTCAGGTATCTCCCCGTATGTAAGCTCTGAAGATACCCAAGTTGCTGTTAACTGTGGACCAACATTGAACAAGAATGTGAATACCACCCTGAGCTGCTCTGACACCCTGGAACCCTCATACCTGCAGGTCAGACAAGCAGGCCAGGTTCCCACATAGGGCCAGCTCCTTCAGCACTGGCCACAGCTGGGACACAGTCTCTGCCAGCTTCAGTGGCACAGCAACCGCCTGTCTCAGCCCCTCCTGCAGAGCACAGGCCCGCCTAGAACCCAGGCGGCCATACGTGCGTTAGGGGCTGAGTGCATTCTGACCCCCAACCATCATGGTCCCTTCCCAAAGGCTGAGCACACCGACTCAGGAGTGACAAAATGATCATTACTCACTACCCATGGTGCACCTGTGCCAACCCCCACCCCCAGACACTGAGACCCATGGCCCAGAGGGTCCAGCAGGCCCACTGGCCAATATTGTGCTCACCTGTCCCTTTCTTCGGCTGTGTTCTTGGGCAGCTTTATTGCCTCCTATAGGGAAAAAAAAAAAAAGACCAAAACACACATGGTGAGTGGCCACGAAGAACTGGCTGTGTCCCCTAGCCATGCTGGGATAGCAGTGAGGACCGTGTCCTGGGATGTAGCAGCACGGGCAGCATGGGCACTGCTTATCCATGGCCTCTAGCGTGGGCGTTTCCTACTGAAGCGCATCATATGCTACAGGCCACAGGCAGGGACACCTTCTGTGGGGATGATGTTTCTGTTGGTATCTGTGGTCTCCAGCACTTGGTGCCTGGGTCTGGGTGTCATAGGTCCCCACAGCCACCTGGAGAAGACAGGTGAGTGGCGTTCTCTGGGGACCTTTAAAGGCTCCTGGATTCTTCCAGTCATCCTCCCTACAGTACCAAGTTCTGATGGTGCGAACGACTTTACCGTACGCAGTCTAAACACACAAGGGCGGCGCTGACGTTGGAAGCTCTAAGGCCTTTTCCACCACGGTGCCGCATCCCTTGTCCCTGGCCATCTGTAGACCTGGCCTTTTTTCCTGAATGGTGACAGGTAGCGTTTGTGATTTCATGAGAAGAGACTCTGTGTGTGGTGAGTGCTGTGGGTCTCAGCTTTCCATAACACCCTCCAATCTTGCAGGATGGGACAGGGCAAGAGAAAGCTGGGTAGGTCGTACGCACACTGGTGTTGGTGTATTCACCCAGATCTCAACCAGTCTCTCTGTCTCCATGTGTATCCCTGTCTCTCTGTCTCTGTGTATATCCCTGTCTGTCTCCATGTGTACCCCTGTCTCTCTGTCTTCGTATATATCCCTGTCTCTCTGTCCCTATGTACCCCTGTCTCTCTGTCTCCGTGTATGTCCCTGTCTCTCTGTCTCCATGTATATCCCTGTCTCTCTGTATATCTCTCTTTATTTCTCTCTGTGTGTATCTCTCATTTCTAATCATTTCTTTCATCTGTTCAGAGTCTGGCCCTGCATCCTTGCTATATCCACTCATCTGCCCACAGTCTGTAATTATTTTTCAAGATGGGTTTTCCACCTCCGAACTCTCCTGGTGGCACCTGTTATGTTGTGGCTGAGGGGTTCTTTCTAGTCCTTAATCTTCATGCTTCTTCTGTCAAGGTTTTTATGACCTCAGAGCTCTAGCCTGCTAAAGAGGTCAGGACAGGGGGCTGCCCCGGCAGTTTGCCCCTCATCCGGGTATAGTGCTGACCTCCAGGATGGCCCAGATGACCTACAGGCAAGAGGCTTCCTTCCTACAGGTCTCTAGAATCTGGGGTCCAGATCTCACATATCTCTGGCCTGGAAGCCAAGATCCTGGCTGGCCAATCTGAGACATGTCTGCTGTTATCTTCAATGTTACCAGCTAGTATCCCTCCAGGATCCCCAACCCCGGGGCACCCCATTCTGGGGTCCTGCCCTCCTAAGTTCGCTTTCCTGGGGCAAAGTCCATGCTCTCCAGACCTAGACCCTCAAGGTTGCTGAAAGTAGGGGCTCCTAAAATACTGGCAGATCGTGCCACCTTCCCAATGTCCTGCCCCTGGCTCCAAATTTGCAGGTTACTACGGCTACAAGTCCAGCCTGGCCATTGAGCATGCTTACCAGACAGGCAGCAAAAGCCTGGGCATCAGCATCCACCAATGGGATTAGCTGGGCGGAGGCCGCATGGAATGGTGGGATCAGGCGTCGCATGGTGGAGTCCAGGTGATCAAACTGGCGCCGCCCGTAGGTCATCTGGCCCACCATAGAGGCCAGGGCTGCACCCTGGTAAGGGGCAAGCTGTGGGAGCTACCCGGGGGGGGGGCCTGGCCACCCCAAGCCAGAGCCCAACAGGGAACCCCAAGTTCAGGGAGATCAAGTGTGGAATCTCACTCAGCAGGGTCCCCCACCACCACAGAGTCCCACCCTCCAGAATCCCCCACTATCAACCCCAACCCGGCCTGGGTCCTGCCATTTATGGCTCTGCCCTCAATGGGTTACCTCAGGTGCTCACCATGGCTGCAACAGCCGCTGCTACAGAGCCGCCGCCTGGGGCAGCAGAGCGGGCGCCCACCTCCCGAACAAAATTGAGCAGTGACTTGTCCATCAGGCTCTGCTCCGGTCCACTAGCTGGAACCAGGTACCTACCAATGGGAGCCGCTTAAAGAAGCGGAGACACACCCCTTTACCCCCAGCCCCAAGCTGATAGGCGGGAAAGAAGAGAAGGAGGCGGGCTGGAAGGGGGCAGGACCGAAGCATGCAGAGAAGTTGGAGGATCAGGCACCTGGTTTAAGATTTGGTGATCAGAGATGTGAAGATGAGGAAGTGGAAGAGGGGGGAAAGGGGTAAAACAAGGGAAGGAGGGGCAGGAAGCGGGCAGGGTGGAAGAGTGGGGAAGAGATGCGAGGCCTCACTCAATGATCCTCTCCTTCGGGTCGAAGGGTGCCAGGGAATCCAGGCCCAGGCGGTTCACCACCTGCAGAGAGGACATCACACCTTAGCCCACTGCTCAGCTTGGCGCCACCTTGACAAGTTTTTCCCACCCTCCCTTCCCAGGAACCTTGCCTGTTCGCTTCCTGACAGGTTGGTATACAGACAGAAACACTCCACATTCCCAGGGCAAACAGGACAAAGAAAGGGTTGCCCGCCCTTCCCTCCCAACAGAGCCTAGGTGGCCATGGGAAGGGCCAGCTAAATCCTCTTCTTGGGATTAGATTCTAATTCAGAATCTAATAGATTCTTACAAACAGGGGCAACCTTGATTACCCTGCACATAAATGTGAGGGAAACCGAGTTTCGCCCAAATTCAGGATACAGTGAAAACAGTCCCATCTGGATTCGAATTCATCTCAGCAAAAACTTTCAACCCATTATGAAGCCATGCAACGGGGACAACACATTTCACTTTCTGAAAGCAGAAAGGGACACACACACACTCGAAGGACACAAGCAGAGTGCACTCCAAAGGTGGTTCTGGGGGCGGGTAAAGGATGCCACCTAAGAGTTGGGTCACGGAATCAGCAAGCAGTGAAGGACGGATACTCTAGGGAAGGACGGATACTCTAGGGAAGGACAGGTACTCTAGGGAAGGACAGATACTCTAGGGAAGGATGGGTACTCTAGGGCAGGATGGATACTCTAGTGAAGGACGGGTACTCTAGGGAAGGACGGATACTCTAGGGAAGGACGGGTACTCTAGGAAAGGACGGGTACTCTAGGAAAGGATGGGTACTCTAGGGAAGGATGGGAAAACAAGGCAATATTGCCAGAGATGCGGCCACCCCCAGAGCAGATCCTGGGCCCAATGAGACAAGCAAATGTGCTATAGACAAGAGGGTCATGTGTAGATGGGACCAGGGGAGGGGCACCTGGGACATATCTACCCAAATCCATGGACTGTGTTTTACTGGGGTGTAAGGAACCTGACCGGGGGGGAGGGGGGCTGGCAGCAGACACAGCTCTTCAGAGAAGCAGCCAGCCTAGGAATTAGGAAGGCAGAGAACATAGTGTTTATGTAGTACAAGTTCCAGAGGAACCCTTCATGAGGTTCTACAGGGCCATGAAAGTGGAAAATCTTCTACCTACGAGTAAAGAGCTGGCCACAGAGCTTGCTCAGTAAAGTTCTTGCCATGCAAGCACAAAACCTTGAGTCAGGCCCCCAGGACCCATATCAAAATCAAGTAATTGGTTAATAATTAATTAAAAAATCCTGGCATGGTGGTAAGCACATTACTTGTAATTTCAGTGCTGGGGAAGTAGAGACAGAAGGATTAGCCTACTTGGTTCCAGTGAGAGACCCTATTTAAAAAAAAAAAAAAAAAAGATGGATGGCCCCTTAGAAATACAACACACACACACGCACTCATGCACACACACACACACAGACACACACACACACACACGCATCAATAAAACAAAGGAACTGAAGGAAGAAGAGGGTTTTGAATTTGGGGTGGGCCTGTTTGGAAGCATGAGCTTGCTCCTGGAGCAGCTGAAGGCCTACAGCCCCCATGCCTTCCTTGGCATCTCACTCCCAAAAGGAGCACAGCCCACCAGCCGTATCCGGTGCTCCTCCTCCAGAACAAACAACTTCTCCTTGTCGCAGTAGAAGGCCGCAGCATCCAGCAAGGCCTTCAGAGGCACCAGGCCCACCAGCTGCGAGCCCACCACTGGGAGGTTCAGCTCCTGTGAGACAGAGGCAGTGAGGTCAGCTGCTGGGGGTTTCCCAATGTGAGAAGGGTGGGAGCAGCTGCTTCTCTACCCACCTGAGCCTCTCTGCAGGCCTCCTCGTAGACTGTGTGCAGAGCTGTGACCTCAAAGTCCAGGAGGTTTGTGGACACCTGAGCCAGGTTCTTCTCATCCAGGTACCAACCGATGCCCTGAACCTTTTTCAGACGTCCTGGCTACGAAGAGATGCGTTCCCCAGCCTGGGCTAAGAATCTGGGCTCTGAATGGCCCCTGCCCAGCCTTCATCATGCCTAGCTCTGAGAGCCTCTTGTGCTTGTGTCCCCTAGCCAGATGAGTCAGGCGAGGTCCCCCCCTCCCCCATAGCTGGGTCGGCACTGTGACTCTCCTTGCTCGATCATCCTTGGTCTGGCTAGAGAGACGAGGCAAAACCTCACCCACCACATGAAAACTGAGACCACGTTTGGTGCAGGTCTCTGACCATACCATGTCTGAGAGACCTAGGGACACTGATGTGGGAAGCCAGGGAAAGTCCCAACTCCCCTTGTCATCCATACCCCACCTGCTTGTCACTCTGATCCTCTCTTTGATGATCTGAGAGAGGCAGACACTCTGACCTCATCTTTGGAACAGACATAATGGACTCGAGGGTCCCTGTGCTTTGCGTTGTACTTACAGGCTGCTGATTCTCCAGGCAGCTAGGCTCCTGGAGCCTCACTGTCTAGCAAGATGTGAGGCTGGGACACATGGGAAGATGACTTCCAGTCACCATGTACGTCTAGGTCACCTGTGTCTGATACGGACTCTGAGAAGTGATGCTCAAGCTAGCTTACAGTTTCTATGCAGACCTGGCAGGGGAGCCTTCACAACACTTGAAGCTTTACTGAGGCATTGTATGTGTGTGTGTGGGGGGGGACATATTTAGAGCAACTGGAGAGATGTGAAGACATCTCAGACGGCTGAGGCAGTTGTCAACACAGAAGCCTGACCCTGTCTGCTGTGGAAGTCTGTTAAAATAAGGGCAGCTGGGGTTGCCGGAGAGCTGCTTTTCCAGAGGACCTGGGTTCCAGGCACCTACATGATGGCTTCTAACCATTAACCTCAGTCCCAAGGGCCCCAGCACCCTCTTCTGGCACATACGCAGGCAAAACGCATACAAATTTTTAAAGGGGATCCTCAGTTTCAAACACTGAACTCTGAGGCTGAGACAACCCCCCCCCAGGCTGTGACACTAAGGGGAACAATCTCCCCAGGGGGTTCGGAGGAAGACCCCTGGGGCATGGGACAGCAAGGCAGAAGCTACCCACCTGGTCTTTCCCGCGGCCTTGCTCCCGGAGGTTGAGAGCAATGCGATGGGCCTGTTCCTTGGTGCTGAGCAGGTTGATGTTGAATGCAATGAGGAATTTCCGCGCACCTGTGACAGTGGCGCCCCAACTGGGGACAAAGGAGCTAGGGCCGAAGTCAGGCACCCACTCTACCTGTTTGAGCTGCAGGAACATTCGCATGGGGTGAGGTGGAGGGGTCCCAGGCCTGCCCACTCTCCCCAGGGGAAAAAAACGGCAGGGAGACCACCCTCTCACACCCGGGCACCTATTGGGGCAGCACCTTCTCAGGCAGGGCCTCATACTCTCCAGCCCGGATAGCAGGCAGGGTCTGCCGACTGGGTGTCTGCGCTGCCTCACCATAGAGGTACACTGCAAAGGAACCCAAGTGGTCAGGTGCTTAGCAGGGCAGAATCCAGTATATCCTCAGTCCCACAGGGGCCCAGGCAGGGCAGCTCCTTCCAAATTCAACTGGGGGTAGATTTTCCTTAGCTGGCTCTCTCTGAGGAGCCCCCGCCTTCTCCACACTCTTGGAGTGGGTACAGCAGTACAGATGGCATAGCATAGACCTCCTGCCCACGCAAAACCAGTGCCACTGAAGAGGGCATGCTTATAGGGGTTAGGGTAGGATATGTGGGGAGTGCTGACGGATACACTCAGGTTTCTTTTTTTAAAATGTGTTTTTAGGGGCTGGAGAGATGGCTCAAGGTTAAGAGCATTGCCTGCCCTTCCAAAGGTCCTGAGTTCAATTCTCAGCAACCACACGGTGGCTCACAACCATCTGTAATGAGGTCTGGGGCCCTCTTCTGGCCTGCAGGCATACACACAGACAGAATATTGTATACTAAATAAATAAAGTGTTTTTACTGTGTGGTGAACCTGTCCTCATAGGAGGAAAAAGCAGAACTTGCCCTACTCATGGGCCTTAACCTCAGATGTTAGCCTGGTTGGGTCCCACCCTGTGCTGCCATATGGACGGTCTATCCTGGGGTCTCCCCACCCTGTGCTGCTATATGAATGGTCTATCCTCGGGTCTCCCCACCCTGTGCTGCCATATGGACGGTCTATCCTGGGGTCTCCTCACAACGCCATGTTGTGTTTGTTTCTAGTGTGTCTCCTATCATTTTCTTGATCTAATTCCCCAAATGAAATCTTTCCCCTCATTTTTCATGTCTGTATGGTATGCATTTGTGCATGCAAGCCTATGCCTTTGTATGAGCTCGTTACATGTGTGCATATGCATGGGGAGGCCCAGGATTGGTCATTCTTCTTCAGCGTCATTCATTGAGGTGGGTCTCTCAATCACACCCAGAATTCCCTGGCGTGCTAATTATCTTCTTCTGTCTCTGCCTTACACAGCTGGGATGACATTACGCCCATCGCATGTATGGAGGTTTCTGGAAATCTGAACTCTGGTCCTCATGTTTGAATGGCAGGTGCTTAAACCAGTGAGCCATCTCTCCCGCCCTAAATTCTTTTCCCTCCCTTCCTTCCTTCCTTCCTTCCTTCCTTCCTTCCTTCCTTCCTTCCTTCCTTTCTTCTTTCCTTCCTGCCTGCCTCCCTCCCTCCCTTCTTTCCTTCCTTCCTTCCATCTGTCCATCCTTCCTTTCTTTTTTGGTAGTGATCTTCATTCTTTTTGCTTTGGTTTGTTTCTTTTTAATATTTACTTATTTTTTGAGATAGGGTCTATGTAGCCCAGGCTGAAACTCTCTATTGTAGAGCAAGAGCAAGCTGGCCTTGAACTCACAGAGATCTGCATGCTTCCGCCTCGCCTCGCCTCCTGAGCACTAGGATTAAAAGTGGGTACCTCCGTGCTAAGCATGATCTGCATCCTTAGAAGGTGTCGAGGACAGCATTGTCAGAGACTGGAATCCAGAACCCCATCGATCCTTCCAGGGCACTCACCTGGTACATTGAGCTCCTCTGCCAGCCGCTGGCCAAAGGCCTTAGCACAGAGCACACACTCGTCCATGCTGACGCCCCTCACCGGGATGAAGGGGCAAACATCCAGAGCGCCCATGCGAGGGTGCTCTCCTGCGGGAAAGGGGGCAGGCCATCACCCTTACAGATATCCACACTGATCACAGAAAACCACCAGCTTCAAGTGGTTGGCAGCAGCAGTTCCTCCCAGGCTGGACTATTAGGAATGCCACAGAACATGGGGACTATTGTTGCTATGGCTGGCATAGAAGGTCTTTAAAGCCCTAGAGAAGGGGTAGGGCTTGCGTAAGCTGGCCCTTTATAATAATTTAAAAAAAAAAAACAACACAAAACAAAGGCCTTCAGTGAGACCTTGCCAGGCTGAAAGTATCTGATGATGAGCCAGTTCTACCTTCACTGGCAGCAGAGAATCCACACCACATCCAGAATACTGTGCCTGGCTCCTCCTACCCTTGACAAGCCTGTTATCTTCTCCTTACCGTGACCTCTGCAAACCGCTCTCTGAGAACGGACAGAGGCCTTGGCTTTTTGCCCAGCTCTGTGTGTCCACCAACCTTTGACCCTGCCCACCCCTGCCGTTGTGTTTGGTTTTGAGGCAGTTGACAAGTTTGCTTCCTAGTACCGTGTCCTCTTCTGTCTCCCTGAGGCCTCAGTCTAGTCAAGACCTTGGCATGAGTGAGACCCTGTAGATTCACTGAACCCCACTGAACCCCACCCTAGGGGGTTGCTGATCTCCATAGCCTGTGTCCTAGGGCCATCTCCCGACCTTTCCGCCAATCCACTCCTGCAAATAGGGAACACCATGTAGCCCTGATGCTAGTCCTAGGGGAGCCTCCAAGGAGAGGCCCGCCCACAGACCTGTTGCACTTACACCCATGTCCACGCCCCGAGCCTGCCCCTCTCCCAGGATACCGTGGCACAAGCTCAGCCTGGGAACTGAGACATGGGAGGCCTGGCCCATCTCAAGTCCTCACCCTTGTGCTTGCTCATGTCGATGAGCTGTGAGGCCACCCGGGCAGCATTGAGAGCTCCCTCGACCACACACTCTGGCCGCCCCACGAAAGTATAGACAGTGCGGTTGGTGGAGGGTCCAGCATCAACATCCAGTAGCACACAGCCTGGGGTCTGGGAGATGGCTCGGGAAATGGCATCAATCACCTGGAGATACAGGCCCAACATCATGCCCCTCAGTCCCTACTTGGAGAGGTTGTAGCCCCACACCCAAGTGTGATCTCAAGAAGGAGGTTTGAGGGATCCCCCAAAGAACTAAGCTTCAGTCCCAGAACCCACAAGGCACAATAAGGAAGGCCCCAGTGGCAGTGACTATGGCCACCCCAGGTTTAGGGTGGCCCAGAAAAATAGATAACGAGCCTGCTGCCACACCCAGACCCTCAGAGGGGGTGAACCGAGTTACAGCCTTCCATGGGAACAGCAGGGTAGGGACCGTTTGCTAACCATGGGAAGGAACCCTGACGAGCGCAGAACCTGCCAGGTCAGGAGCTGGGCTCAGAGCTCAAACCCTATCCTAAGGACCCCTCTGGCCTCAGTTTCCCCATCAGGTAAGAGGGCCGATAATAATGCCTACTTCCCAAGGCTCCATGGGTGAGGAAAGAGTTAATACATATGGGAATAACCTTTCCTGTGACCTCAAATAACTCTGTCCTCTGCCTCTGTATTCAAGGGACTTCACTGTCAGAAACACTGAGGTCACAGGATTCATGACCCCCTCCAGGAGCACTCCAAAATCCCCAGGCCCACTTGCCAGTTCTCCAGAGTCCCCCCAAATCCATGGAACGTTCCAGAGCTGACGGAGATGGCTCCTTTGAGGGGGCCAGTAGGCTGTGGCTCTGCCCATCCTGGAGGCAATCTCCTCCCACCCCAAACTCACTCCCTTCCTGTGACCAAAACACCCACACATCCTGCCAGCCCCAAAGGAGCCTCACCTCCTGGTTGTTCCCCTCTGAGAAGTTGGGGACACATTCCACCAACTGGGACATGGTCAGCCCTGGGTCCAGTCGCTCTTCTCAAAAGGCAGTAGAGGTGTGTGGAGTGACGGCCCTTTGGTGGCCCTGGGCCTTTATACCTCCTCACGGCTAGTTTCTTATTAACCAGGGACCGCGCAAAGGGAGCTGGAGAGTGGAGGGTGCTCCCCAGTTAAGTACATGCTCTCCAGGATGGATTCTCCAAGTCACACAATCAGGGTCAGAGGGCACATGCTGAGGACTCTTGGGGGCCTAGAGGGGCAGAGTTAAAGCTAGGGCATCAGGCCAACCTGGGTTCAAGGCCCAGCTTGATCCAGGGCTGCCTGTTGACCATCCAGATGACAGTTTTGCCCTCAAAATGTGGCCTTTCCAGAGGAGGACCCATGGGACTTCTGGGTTGCTATCTTTTCATAGAGGACCTGATCCTCGGGGATATAGGGGGATGAGGCCATGTGTGAAGCCTAGCATAAAGCCTGGTCCTCCACAGAAGTCGACTTAGCTCAGAGAGGCAGGAGAGAGTGTCGGGTGAGAGCGAGAATGTGTGGAACCATGGGAATGTATGTGTGTGTATGTGTGTTTATATGTGCAATCCATGGAGTAGGTGTACATATGGGTGAATGGAGTGGCTATGGGTGTGAGTGTATATAGGAATATATGTGAATCTGTAGGGGTTGGTATGACTGTGCAGATAGTTATTAGAATACACACATATTCTGTAAGGATGATGGCATAGATGTGGATGTTGGTGTTTGCAAGTGGATGATGTTAATGCGTGTCGACCATGATACAGGAAAGATGGATACTGGTGTTGTATATAGGCACTGATGTGAACAAACCTGTGGGGGGAGGTGCTGTATCTGTGTGTGTATATGTATGTGTATATGTGTGTATGTGTGTGCATGTATGTGTGTCTGTGTACGCATGTATATGTGTATTGTGTATGTATGTGTGTGCATGTATGTGTATGTATGTGTGTGTATGTATGTGTGTGTCCTAGTTTGCTTTTCTGTTGCTATGGTAAAACACTCTAACCAAAAGTCAGTCAAGGAAGAAAAGGTTTATTTCCGCTTACACTTCCAGGCCTTAGGCCATCCTTGAGGGAAGTCAAGGCAGGCATTCAAGAGGCAATGAAGCAGACACCATGGAGGAACATCGTTTAGTGATTTGCTTCCTGGCTCACTCCTAGAGTCCTGCCTAAGGAATAGTTCTTCCCATAATAGACTGGACCCCCCTGTAGCAATCAAGAACCAAGCCAACCAGGCGGTGGTGGCACATACCTTTAATCCCAGCACTCAGGAGGCAGAGGCAGGCGGATCTCTGTGAGTTCGAGGTCAACCTGATCTACAGAGCTAGTCCCAGGACAGCCAGTGCTACACAAAGAAACCCTGTCTTGAAACACAAACGAACAAAAAAAAAAAAAAACACAAAACAAAAACCAAGCCAATTCCTGGAGCTAGAGAAATGGTTCAGTAGTTAGGAGTATTGTTCTTGCTGAGAACCCAAGTTCAATCCCAGCACCCACATGGCAGCTTATAGCCATCTGTAATTCCAGTTTCAGGGGATCTGACACCCTCTTCTGATCTCCATGGGCACTGGGCACACATATATTCCACAAATGTATATGCAGGCAAAATATTCACACATAAAATAAATCTAAAAAACAATTAAGAAGACAATTGCCCACAGACATGGCCACAGACCAGTCTGACCTGGGCAATCAGCCATTCACTTGAGGTTCTCGGTTCCCAGGAGACTCTAGGTTGCATCAAGTCAATAATAAAAACTAACCAGCACAATGTATATGTTGTTGTGTGTAAGCATGCCTGTGGGCACTGGGATTAGTGTTCATGTACAGACGTTAATGCTTGCATCTATGTGGGTATTGCTGTGTATCTATGTATTCAGGTATTTGTATATGAGTGAATGTTGGAATGAGTATGTGTGTGTGTGGAGGTATATGTATAGATATTTGAACACACACACATGTGTACTTGTTGAATGTACATGGGCTGTTGGGGCAGGTATTAGGTAGGAGTATACATGTGGTAACTGGTGTGAAAGTGGCGGGTGATGCTGCTACATATGATTTGCTATCTGGTATTGTGTTCCCAGGGCAGGGAAGGTTTTTCTCACTACTGATTCTGGAGCCAAAACTTCTTATGTATACAGGTAGAGCACTGTATACATAATGAATTATTTCTATGTAGAGGCTGGTGTATCCCTTCCATATGGGGTCCATGGATCTGGACACAAATGAACACCCCTGTCCTAGAGACAGAACCCTTCTCAAGTGCTGTACGTACCCACATACTTCACAAAGATGCCCCCAGGACTCCACAAAACCTTTGGGGGGTATCAGAGTGTCAAGATACATCAGCTCACAGTGTTGATGGGCCCGGAGGAAGTGATGCATGTGGACTTGGAGACTCAATCTCCCCCGTTGAAGGTACCACAAAGCAGTACCACAAAGCTGGAACAAGCGGAAGTGAAATGCTGGGTCCAGACACGAATGCAGACCAGAAATCCATTGCCCATGCAGAAGTGTCCTGAATCATTCATGCAGGCATTGCCCCTGGACAGGTGGAGCATGACTCCACCCCTCCAATGTGGGCACTGGAAACCAGTAACAACCTGTACCCATCTCCGGGGGACTCAGCCAAATTATACCACTGTCAGAGCTTGCCTGAATCCCCCCCCACACACACACACACACATTCACCACTGCCGCATCTCCTTTCATGCAGGAACATCCTCAAGCCTTCTAAACAATGCACCAGGTACTGCATTTGGGGAGGGCTTCTGCTGAGGTACTGAGCCCTGATCTCTTAGCACTCTCCCAAGCCTGGGCCCACCATGTGAGCCGAGGATAGTCAAGTGGACACACAGCAGCCTGGAACCACTCAGAGCTGACCTCAAGAGCTTGGGTTTGGAATGTTCCCAAAAGCTCATCATTGAAAGCCTGGTCCTGATGACAGTGACGTTAGGAGAAAGGGCTTTGGGAGCATGATTGGATCATGAGGTCTCCGGTCTCTTGGATGGATTAAGTCATTGATGAGTTTGTATTGAATGGATTATTGGGAGCTGATGGAAGCTGTAGGAGGTGGAGGCCTGGTGGGAAGAGGTAGATCCTTGTCCCATATCCATGTTCTCTCTGCTTCCTGGACTCGGACATGAGCAGCTAGCTCTATCTCACCGTGTACCCCCTACCCTGATATTATGCTCCATCATAGGTACAGATATAATGGAGTCAGCCAAACATGGCCTGAAGCCTCTGAAATGTGAGCTAAAGATATCTTTTCTCATGAAGTTGACTTTCTCAGGTGTCTTACCACAGTGAGGGAAAACCAACGCAGAGACTCACGGTCAAGTCCCAGGCCCAGTTCTTCCGAGCCTGAAGCCCAGAGTCCATCACTTGGTCCCCTACTCCCCAGGGTTACCTTTGAGCACTTGCACTTGTGCTCTATTTAATGGTTTAGAAAACTGTGACATCCGGGGTGCCTTACTATTTGGAAAAACCAATCTTTCCACTGTGAGCTAGTTACCGCCTGGTACATAAACGAGTCTTCATTGTGCAAAACGACCACCTCAAAGCCCCTTCCTCATTTAACTCTCCCCAATCCAAGGGTCCCTGACCTCCAAACCACACAGGGCAAGGCACTTGGTCAGTAGAGACACCCTCCTGTATCCTAACCTAAGGAAGTTGAACTCTCTACCCCATACCTGTTCATACTCACCTACCCTACCTCACCCAATCCTTCTCAAAGAAGCCACCACAGGCCCTTGCTCCTTTGAAGCACCCTGGCTATCCCTTACAAAGCCCCGCACAGAAGCAGGATATACTTCCTGCTAGGATTGTGAGCAGCCCACTCAACTCTCACGCCACGTCCGCCAGCCTGTTGTATCTAATTAAACAATCCAGATATACTCACCCTTATTTCTTACCTCGGGTTTGCAGGAAGCATCCAGTTGCTGATTCCAAGGGGAAGTGGCTGTGGCCTATCTGGCTAGGACAACAGACATAGCTACAGGCCTGTGGTCTGACAGCTCCTCGTGAAGTCTTTCCTAATGTGGTCATGCTCACCGCCTTGCTTTAATCACCCTAAGGGTGACTCCAAAGGGCTAGGGTGATGCCAATGACACTGAGCCAGAGCCTCTCAAGGGCTGAGGCAATGCCAGGTTGGCTAGGCCCTCCAGCCCTGGTATCAGGTTTTGCTTCTTCCTTCACCAAGACTCGGAACTCCCTTCCACCCATAGGAATCTCAGAACTGAACACATAGACCGAGCAGAGTGGGGTCCCTTGAGAGTGTCACTCAGTATTCTGGCTCTGACAATTTAGTGAACAAGACAGAAGCCCTACCCTCAAAACTCAGAGGCTAGCACAGGGAGCGGCTTGGGGTGGCTACCTGCGTTGACTGAGCCACTTTAGCTCTTACACCTGCCCAGAGTCACAGCAGTCCAGGTCTTTGGATGGATGCCTAGCCCCAACCCCACTGATTCGCTGAGACATCCATCTGTTAGCTGTAGGGTTGACGCTATGGCAGTGTACACGCGCCCCTGTGGGGTGGGAATTGACGGGAGTCGCAGCAGCCTTGACACTCTGGCCAATGTCCAAGAGCATTGTAGGCTCCTGGGAACCAAGAACTAGGCCCCCGCAGCTCTTAGTGATCCCTTCCCTATGTTCCTGCTCCTCAGAGCATATCCTGGGCACAGTACATGCTCAGTCACACAGGCCAAGCAGACTTAACGCACACTGTTGTCATAGACCAAAGTCCCTAACTTTGATTGCAGAGACATCTGTTCTGATAGGTTCTGCAGGTTCCACAACCATTTTGCCTCCAGCTCTGCTTCTGGGGAATCCCAAAGTGCAAGAGGACTTGCTGGTCCTCTCAAGGGTGAGACCGAGGCCTCCAAGGATGCTGAGCTACCTCTGAGAGAAGGCAGGTGGCCACAGTCCTGGAGTCAAGGGTCCCAGCATCAGCTCAGCCCCAGGTTCTGCTCATAAACACGATCCATGGCTCTTGCAGGCCAGCAGAGACCAAAACACCTCACCACGCCCTCAAAGAGCCAGAGGTAAGGCAAACAAATAAATAAGCTTTTAATA